AGGTAATTTCCACGATTTCGAAATTCAGCCTTTTGAAAACGTTTCCTTGTGTTTAGTAGTATATCTGTCGATAACCGACTGAAAATGGCACATTTTACTCATTCAAGTTTGAGCATTAAAATTCATATATAATGCAATTTAAAATATCGTGGAAAGTCAGAAATTTATTCGAAATCCACGTATGAGCAAAATCTCACCTTTTCCGCACGTGGCAATCTTGAGCCGGACGTTGCATCGCATACAAAATTGAAACAACGTAAATATTGCATAGGGTATTTAATATATAGTTTGATAAGCATGAAAATTTCAGAAGAATTTCAAAAGACTTGGATCACAAGGGACTCCAAAGTTGATAAACATCGTAAAATCAAATTTTTTAGTGATTTTATAGCTATTTTAAATCAATTTGGCGTGTCCCCACGTGTGCAACTTTCGATTTTTTAACTTTAAAACTAGCCTATAACACAATTTAACTTTACACCTTTACGAAAGCAAAATTGAGCTCCACAACCCAAGGGATGGGCCTAACACCAAGAATACTAATTCACAACTTTTGTGTTTTTAAAAAATTATTGGGGGGGGTGTCACGTCCCGTCTATGACCGCTTGACTCATCGAATCAAAAAGGACAGGACATAGGCGGAATAGGGCTGACAACGGCGGACATAGACGACATAGCGGACATAGGCGGACATAGACTGACATAGGCGGACATAATGCGGACCTAGGCGACATAAATGGACACCTAAATTGCTAAATAAAATGTTCAATTTTTGCTGTTATAGGGGATCATGTTTTTTGTCCGTTCGGTACCCTATAATATGTTCAAAACGGACAAAAAATAGAGCGACCAAAAACGGACAAAAATGGACCAAAAAGCGACAAAAATGGAAATAACAATTAGTGCTTCCCTCCTCCTACTCTTCCTCCTCCTCCCCCTGTCTTCCTGATCTTCCTCAGTCCGCTTCCTCCACCCACCTCAGTCCTCCTCCACTCCTGATGGTCCTCCTCCTGGGTCCCTCCTCCTGGACCCCTCCTCCACTTCATCCTCCTCCGCTCTTCCCCCACAGTCCTCAGTCCTCCTCCTCATCCTTCTCCTCAGTCCTCCTTCCTCCTCCTCATTCCCTCTCCCCCAGTCCCCCTCCTCCTCCTCCTATTCAGTCCTCCTCCTCCTCCTTCCTTCTCAGAGTCTCCTCAGTCCTCTCCTCCTTCCTCTTCCCTCTCAGTCCAACCCCTCCTCAGCCATCCTCCTCAGTCCTCCACAGCCCTCCTCTCTCCTGTCCCCCTCTCCTCCTCCTCTGTCATCCTCCTCCTCCTTCCACCATCGGTGTCCCTCAGTCCTCCTCCTCCTGTTTCCTCCTCCTGTTCCTCCTCCTATTCAAGTCCCTTCCTCCTCCTCATTCTCGCCTCAGTCCTCCTTCTCATTTCTCCTAAGGTCCTCCTTTCCCTTAGTCCTCCCCTTCCTGAGTCCTCCTCCTCTTCCTTCCCTAGTCCTCGTCCTCCAGAGTCCTCCTCCTCCTCCCTCTCAGTCATCCTCCTCAGTCATCCCCTCACCATCCTCCCCAGGCCATCCTCCTCAGCCATCCTCCTCATACTCCTCAGCCTCTCCTATCTCAGTCATCGTCATTTCCTCCTCCTCATCCAACCTCATTCCTCCTCCTCCTCCAGGGTCTCCTCCCTCCACCTCCTCCTCCTCCTGGGTCCACCTGGTCTCCTGATCCTCCCCAGTCCTCTATTTCCTCCTCCCCTCCACAGTCCCTCCTCCTACTCTTCCTCCTCGACCTCAGTCCCTCCTCATCAGTCCACAAACAGTTTCTCGCTCGTCCTCCCCAGTCCCTCCTCCTCCTCCCTGGGTCCTCCTCCTCCTGGTCCTACCTTCTCCTCCTCAGTCCTCTTCCTCCTCTTCCTCCTCCTCCTCCCTCCTCTCAGTCTTCCCTCCTTCAGCCATCCTCCTCAGCTTATCCTCCTCAGTCCTCCTCCTTCTCAGTCCTCCTCCTGAGTCCTCCTCCCCTGAGTCATCCTCCTCATCTCCTCCGCCTCCTCCTAGGTCCTCCTTCTGGGTCCTCCCCTCCCCTCCTCCTGGTCTTCCTGATCCTTTCCTCCTCCCCTCTCATCATCCTCCTAAGTCATCCCCTCATCATCCCTCCTCAGCCATCATCCCAACCTCAGCCATCCTTCTCCAGCCATCCACCTCAGTACTCTCAGTACTCTTCAGTACTCTTCATCCCTCAAAATGTTTGGTCCGCCAATGTCCGTCCGAGTCCCCGCCAATGTCCTCCGTGTCCGCCAAGTCCCAAAAAACACGTCCGTTTCTCAAAACTCCAACCAAAGGACAGGACATAGGCTGACTTAGACGGACATGACACCCCCCACCCCCCACTAATTCTTGAAAGACTAACTTCATAGCAAATTATCTTTAGAAGGAGCAAGGAAGAACTATTTCCGGTAGAATTTACCAGAATGCCTTGAACAATTTATACTAAGATGAAAAGGTTCCTCAGATTTTGAATATAACTTACTTCCCTTAATTGGTGTAAAATCGAGTTTGAAAATTTTCTTACTTTGTCAAAAACAAGTTTTAAAAACTCTTAATTTGATGACGTCATCAAGTGATAATGAAATGACGTTAAATTATTTCAATACAATGTAAACTGAAGTTTAAAAAAACGATTATCTTTAAAACCTGTGGTTCGAGATGACTGGAACGTTTATTACTTTTTGGTCTACGGAACACTTTAAATGTAGCTACACATAGACTGCAAACGTCCCCTAACATCATAAATATTAAATATATATTGCTCAACGACAATCTGTTGTAAAACAGGGTTCCAGAAACCCACTTGCCGAAACTGCTGAGCTGAAACATGACATTTTGTTTAAACCGTCATTTGGGCAAGTCTAACGCCCTCAAAGTTTCAGACTCTAACATCAATTTAACACGGTTTTTATAAGGTCACCTGAAGATGGCGATTTTTGTTTTTTTTTACTAATACGTATAACATGCTGGCGCGAATTTTGGCGCAAAATTTCTTAAAACCCCATATAACTAATTCTTATTCCTATCAAACATAACATTGAATAAGAATTTTTTGAACTTAAAATATACCTGCTGACTACTTCGATGAGTCCCCTTAATGCCTGGAAAACACTAAAGGGGAATAATAGTATAGGGGTAAATAGTAGATGTGAATATAATGCGACGTAAATGCTTGCCAGCATTGTGATTTTAATCTGGACAGCATGCATCTGAGCTTGCTGATTGTAGGAATGTAGGCGATAACAAATCTTGCAGCCGATCACCGATCACATTCCGATTAGCTCATTATATTCAAAGATCAAACGTAGAAAGCGTATGTTCTTATCATTATAAGTTTTAAGCTCATCAAAAGAGCTTAATTAGGTTCCTTAATAAGTTGGGACAATGGTTTTAATTTCTAATATGAATAGTTTCATGCCTATCAAGCCAAATTGGGCTCTTAAACATGCATGATAACTTAAGACCATGGTTTAAATTTCTAATATGAGTGCATGATACAAGACTAAAGGCACTGTTAGCTGACTGCCTGAGACGAACGACTAGGTCTTGCTTTATACAACGTGGTTTCATATCTTAGACTGAGTCATACCAATATTACTTCTAGTTCTATATTATATCTCTCCATTCGGTGTAGCATATGTTCATAATATCGGGATATATATTCAGAGTCAGCCTGGTGGCATTTTGAATACAACGAATATAGATTGAAACTCCATAGTATGGGTCCGAGTTGTTCTCGCATGCCCCACCTCCTGAATATTGATATTAGCTGCAAGCACCCTGGATTCCATGAGAAGTTAGTACACACTAAAACACTGTACAACAACTGTACTATTTCTATCACGCGACATTATTTATTATAATTTATTAGTACAGCACACCGGCCAATTTGTGTACTGTATGCTGTCTTGACATCTACTAATGCGTGAGGGAAGTGGGGTAGAGAATATTTCATTTCCCCGTTTTTTAGCTGAGTGTAATGTTACATGTGTTACATCATTTGCTAGGCTTGGCTCCGAATGACTTCAACCTAAATACTTATACGGTTACCATTTGTCAGAAGCTGTAGCAACATAACATTTTCAACGTCCTTTAACATGTTACATATTATGGTAAATTTGTTATACACATTCTGCTTTTAAATTAAATTGACGTCAGTCGGCAAATGTATCCTGCGGTTTCGTTCGAATCGTTTAAAACTTCTGATTTTGTTTCTCGGATGTCGATCATCACTTTAAAGCTAAGTGCTAACCACTATTTCCGGTTAAATATAGAGTATAAAGTTTTTTTAATTGCTAAACCTAACCTCAGTTTATAATATTTGTCCAACTATAGCGATTCCGATAGATTTCTTAAAATGCACTCCTCTGCTCACATATATCGTACCGTGTGTCACCACAAATCATGTCTCACACCCAAACACACAGCACAATGGTATCTGAAGCACTGGTCAGCCTTGACGAACAGCTGGCTATACTACGTGGTAGGACCACTGCGTTTGACGTTGACCTGAACTGTCTTCTGGACCGAGTACGGATATAAGGGGGACTTCTTCCCTGTCCTCTTTAACATCTTAAAATTTAGCTCTCCTTAAAAAACCTGATCTGACTGTTTTTGTTGAATTTTATCGTGATTAACCGAGTTTGTAGAATAGGAAATGTGTCATTTTCTCTTTTATAATAATTCGGTCAATTCGAATTTCACAGTTTCGTTATAACCCCTTTGTTAACACACATTGTTTCCATCAGAAAGAGAACATTTGAAATAGCAGCAAATAGGAAAAGTCTGCTGAGTAAGTGTGACATTAAGAAGGTGATCTGTACTCGGCTCAGTCTAACTGCCAAGAAATGGAACACAAAGGTTAGTTTTTATCTTTTTTATCTTTACCATGTGCTCGTTTTATGGCAGTAAATACATAATACATTTTCACTGTTAAAACTTTAAGTAACTCATTATAACCGCAGTTGAATCAGTTGAACCACGAAGTTACCTGTAAAGACGAAATGTTAAAGTTTGTGGACCGAGAGATTGAGGACAGGAGAGATAATGACAACTTTGAGATAAAGGACTCGCTGCTCAAACTGAATAAGGAATGTCAAGAACTGAAACATGAAAATGCTAACCTCAAAGATCATGTGAGTGTTCTAATAAAATGACAGATGTCAAAATGTTGGTGTTTATTAGGGGTAGGTGTCGTCTTATCAGTATTGTCGGGGTTGTGCGGGTTTAGGCTATCACGCAATCGAAATCTTTTTGTAGTTTCATTGGCATATTTGTGAAGAGCTTAGTATGCAAAGCACCGTAATGATTGGTCGGAAAACAAAACATCAACACGCCGTTTTTTAACGACAATTACCATTCGGTTAAGAATCCCTACCATGGAAGTGTAAATTTTCACAAGTCCCAATTTTTTGCCGGAACTTTCAAACTTGAATATAAGCTGGAATTTGACTTGTAACAGTATCTGATATTGTTTAGCCTAGACCTTAACATAATATTCATTGCCCATACACTGTCACAGTGTCACATATATATGCAGGCCGTTTAGCCGACACATTTCCACTCTTTTTCTTTGACCTTGTTGCTGCACGTTTGTCATGGATCTCGTTTATTGTAACACAACGCTGAAGATCAGCTTGAAAACCGAAAAGATTTATATTCACGTGGATTAAGGACTTGCATTTTACATTTTATTGAACTCTATAGCTGATTCACCATCGATGAATGTTATTTTAATATGATAATCTAACCTATTATGATTTTATTCAAATCTTAACTGTTTTAAAAGCTAACATAATCGCGACTTAGCGTAATCAACAATATAATTTTTACTATCCCAGCATCACGGGTTACGCAGTGAGACAATGAGACTTGAGGCAAAAGAAACAGCTCTTATCCAGCATTGCGTCAAACAACCAGGTATGTTCTGTGTAACTAAATATGTTCTGTGTAACTAGGTATGTTCTGTGAAACTAGGTATGTTCTGTATAACTAGGTATGTTCTGTGTAACTAGGTATGTTCTGTGTAACTAGGTATGTTCTGTGTAACTAGGTATGTTCTGTGTAACTAGGTATGTTCTGTGTAACTAGATATGTCCTGTGTAACTAGGTATGTTCTGTATAACTAGTATGTTTCTGGTAACTAGTATGTTCTGTGGTACTTAGTATGGTTCTTGTGTAACTAGGTAATGTACTGGTGAAACTAGTAAGTTCTGTGTAACTTGGTATGTTCCATGTAACATGTAACGTTCTGTGTACTAGGTATCTTTGTGTAACTAGTAAGTTCAGTGTATCTATGGTAAGTTCTGGTGGTAACTAGGTAATGTTCTGTTAACTAGGTATGTTGCTGTTAACTAGGTATTTTCTGTGTAACAAGGTATGTTCTGTGAAACTCGGTATGTTATCTAATAAACTAGTAGTTCTGTGTAAACTAGTATGTGTCATGTGTAACTAGGTATGTTTTCTGTGTAACTAGATATGTTCTGTGTAACTAGATATGTCTTGTGTTACAAAGTATGTTCTGTGTCGGTAGATGAAGTGAAAATGACATCATATACTCATGGAGTTTCCTCGCCCCTCTCTTCCTACAAACCTAAACTGACAATGCTTTGTATTCTTGAGCCAATGCCTGATAATGGGAGAGCCCTCTAGAAGGCTTCTAGAAGGCCCACCTATTATCTGATAATGGGAGAGCGTTCTAGAAGGCACAGATTCGACGTAAAGATTAAAGAAGCTCTCTCTAGAACACTCTCCCATATTATCATTTTGATAGATACAGCACAGATTATATTTGTTGCCTCTCCTGATCCTTAATATTTGCTTATTGTAGGTACTGTAGTTATATAACATTATATGTGTTATTGTTACATTGTTGTTACACTGTTGTTACACTGTGTTTCGATCTGGTTGTTATTAATCTTAGTTATTATGTTATATTGAGATTGTTTTCCGTAGTACAAAAGTTTATTTACTCAGAGTTAGCCTCTCTCGCCGATATGTCATGTAAGTTCGCCAGCACAGTCAAACTCTTCACAACTCTCGTCAACAAACTTAATCTTGCTTACCTTATCACTCCAATAACATTTTGTAAAATGAAAACTACCGGTACCGCAGCCCAGGGGTGACAAAATATTGGTCCATTCACGTTTAAATTATAGCCATTCTCTGGCTTGCTGGCTGTTCTAATGAAATACCTATTTGACACGGCCAATTGCAATCTACCAATTTTGTTTTTTTTTGTGTCAGCTTTTCCCAAATTAAGTCCTTAAAATAATATTTAAAACCCTATAATTTGCTCTAATACGACTCATTCAGGTGACACGGTGGTGCAGATAGGTAAGTTGGAGATTCAGGCAGAACAGAAATCAGAGGAGATCGTGATCCTTAAACGTGATCTAAACCACGTGACGTCATCACTCACTGAGCTGACAAAGCGGCACGTGAGAATGATAGACGATAACAACGACCTCCGATGCAGGTACAGACAATGAAGGAGGACCAGAAGATGGCCTCTCAACAGGTATGACTAGGAGAAGTCCGGCGGTGCACATTTTCCAATGTTCACCTTTTTAGGACTTACTGGCATGCTCGTTTTCATGATATTTTCTACGATGTTTAGTACAGGTACAACTTCCTTCATCCGCTGCCTCCCAGTTAGCACACCTCGCCAAAGAAGTAAGGGCGTGAGTGTCTACAGATGTTGGAGGACAGTAGGATGTACATGCACCGTATGAGCAGCCCTGTCACCCCCAACATTGCCCTCAACTACGAGACCCCCGCTCAACCTACACCCAGCATCATGAACGAACTTGAGGACGCTATCATCACTGACCTTCAGGTATCTGGTTCACACTTGATCTTATTAAATTCAGTTTAAACTGATAACCCGAGCTAGTTTCCATCGTATTTAAACATTAAATAGTACATCCACCCTCACCCATTTTCGAACTTTATTGAATTAAATTGTCTCTGTCCCATCAGCAACGAAGAAAAGGCAAAGGAACGTCAAAAGGCAGACAGTTTGCTCGAACACGAGCTAGAATTGCAGCACAACAAAAACAAGCTGACAAGCGGGAGACAACTGATGACAGTGATAACAAGGACAGTGGAGTTAAGTCTGGGGACTCTACGGACTCTGGAGAAACTGAAAGGTAACTGCTCGATCAGAAGAATGTTATACATTGTATCATGATTGGTGTTGTACACATTTACTGTTGGTCTCTCTTTAAAGATTAATCAATTTTCAGTTTTAGCTGTAGCCTCTGATTGTAGGACTGAATCCCTACCGGACGGAATCACTACCACCCAAATATCACTACTGTAGTGTTTCAGTCCGGTAGTGATTCATCCTAAAATATACCTCAATCCTACCAGAGTTCTTAGATCACTAGTTCTAATATCATGAACGTATCTGAGCCGGTGCTCAACATGATGCTTGCTATGGGCCTGTCAGACAATGTGAAACCACAGACTTACGTACGCAACGAGGAGCCCTAACGCGAACTGGTTCGGATCAAGTCATCCATAATGACCTGCTATAAAACGACCAATACATGATGTGAACCTTCACATGCTCGTTATCTCAATCAGCTAGCGGGACCATATATAAACCCGCAACGCCTGTGTTAATCTTATAACCACTAAGTCTTCCTCATCCATCGAGTTTAATCCCTGGCAGAAAGAAAGGCAGCCAGCACGTCCTCTACGATGGTCACCTCTACCCCCTTATTATTATTTATTAACTATATTAACAGAAAGAGGGAAGACAAGGACCTACTGGAAGTGCAACAAGTGCAAGTCCCCGCCTGATCCTTGTCCAGGCCACCTACCTGTTTCTGCTACTCCTCATTACCCACACGAATCTCAACCACTAAATTGCGCCCACCGCTTCCAAGTCTAAAATGAAGACCCTCGCCGCTACAACTGAGAACTCAACTAAGCAGATTTGTTTCAGGACTCTGTCGCTGACTATCCGTCGAAGCCTCGTCCCGGCTCAACTGTGATCCCAAGTCCCTTGGCACGACTATCAGACGAGCCAGAAATGGCAGCCTACTCCCCATTTCCTCCTAACTACCTGAACCTCTCCCCTGTGGGTAGACACTATGTTGCCTGGACATCCTCCTACGACACCAACACCAAAGATCTATCCTCCATGTACTGCAATACAACAACAACATCATCTATCAGTTCAGATCACCACGTCGTGATGGAACCATTAAGACCTCCTCCAACCTTTTACTCAACTCTTCACATTTCCACGCCTTACACCCTACTGGATGGAGAATCCCTGCAAGCCTTTGGACTCCAACCCGGGAAGCGCACCATCAAGTACGAGAACATCCTCAACGAACTGGACTCCTACGGACCCTTCTAACCCTCAGACGGTGCTGTGGACTATGAAATCGCTATCAGGAACGCAGTCTCCAACGTCTGGCCTTGTACATACCTTGAGAGGATGGCTGGTTCCACATCAAACCTGGAGATGCAACGGTATTGTTGATGATTAAGATAACTTTGGGATTTACCGAGTTTCTGAAAAGCTGTTGGATCTAAGATTTTGGGTTAATGCTTAATAATGTTTACATATTAATGAGTGATTTAAATTACGTGGATCAGATATAATATCTATTATTTTCTTGACCAAATTTCTGCTTAGTCAATTTATCAAAGAAAAATCAAATAATAATTAACAAAAAAAAATATAATTAACTAATGAAATTACACAAATTATGCCTTTATTGCAAAGTTCAGTAGGGATCACAACAAAGTGGTTAGGTTAGGATTAGCGGTAGTGATACGTCCGGTAGTGATTCAGTCCTAAATATACCTCAATCCCTACCATTAGTGATTGGTAGTGATTCAGTCCGTTAGGGATTCAGTCATGTAGTGATTCGGTCCGTTCACCGTAGCCTCTAATGTGTTAACCTTACGTTATGTTAGATGGTAAAGGAAATGATCTATTTGATTGAGATTCTATCGATATCTATTCACTTATTTAACCTGATTTAATGTTTGCCAGGTTGTACGAAGAGAGGAGTAGAGTGCTTCAGCTGCAACCAGTCCGCACACTAAGAGAAGATTGAGACGTGGAACTGCTTCAACTGTCAGTGACGGAGAAACGCCGCGCAGAGACGCGCTGCACGACCTTATAGCTGAGGCTGAGTTGAGTTTAAAATCTTAGCGATTTTTGGATGATTCATTGTCACTTTGTGTGATCGTTCATTTTCTTTATATAAACTGAGTGACATCTTTTGAGTGTTTTTACTAATCATTATTTGGACATGACAGATTGGCCAGAAGAAACTCTTTCCCTTCCAAACCCACTTACTGTCTCACTCGCAGCCAGCTCGATACTCATCTCTGAACGGAGCACCACTCAATCAACAGTGATACCAACATAACCAGTGTCAGCGATACCTGGCAATCTGAACCGGGCCCTCATATGTCCACTCGTGCGATGTACGGCCGATCCAACAAACTCAAGATGGTTAAACCCATGGAGGGTAGTATGACCCTTCTACAGGTATGTACATTTTGTAAGACTGCTACAGATATCAATGTTAGTCATAACGACAAAAACCGGAAGTTATTGTAAATGAGTATAACAAGAATTGCGCCCGTTTAAAGTTTGGCGGACGCTACATTTTCCATTTCACATTTACTAATAAATATAAGTATAAGCTCCAATCAGTCACTGTTCAATACTTCATGATAATAATATTGATAAATTTATGCATCAAATACGGGAAACACATGAAATTCAGTTCATATGCCGTAGACTTAACTTGTATCTGTAATTCAAGAACTTATTTCAGCGAAGGTAAACTATACTCGTGTACACATACAATACACTATGCGTGCACTACAATTGGGCCGATTACCAATAGTATTATTAATACATTTACATGCATCATAACATTAATACACAGTCGCGCGCCATCATAGATCACAGGCTATCTATCCATCACATCTCCGAAAGCAATCCTCGCGGCGCGCTACCTTTTATCGTTGCATGGTAACGGACGGAATGATCATCATATTCTGACCGCCTACTGCTATCTCCAAAATCCACGTTTTTCCTGCAAAAACCTCCATATCGTAAACCTTTCACTAAATTGCCTTTTTTTTTCAAGGGTGAAAAGGAAAAAATGAAGCCTTTACATTGTAGACGGTTGATTTATATCTCCTTTCTTATGTAAATTTTGTAAGATGGATAATACCCAAACAGCTGTAAGGCGTATGCTGGTGTTTAATAATTGTTCGTTTATCTCTGACAAATCTAAAATTATATCTGAATCTTTGTGATATCTCCCACATTAAATGCTATGTTTACAGTGGAAGTTGCTGGCGATGAAGCAGACAAACAACTCCCTGCTAAACGTGGAAGAAAGGCCTGGTGTTCTGCAACGTAACACCGTGTCCGCTATTTCAGAAGGCGAGGGAATTGGCTCTCTCGGTAAGCACCACTTGTCAAGTTTTTAGTTTCACAAACTGTCACCAAAGCGGTCAACTTTACTACTCTATCGTACATGGGGTGGTTGTCAACCGTTCTGATATTTTGGTATTCTAAGATTGTGTTCCCTGACGTGGAAATATTTGCAGGAGGGTTGGACGACTTTGGACTTGGTGGGAGTTCGGGTGGTATAATGTCTAAAGGAGCCATGACACCGGTAAACCGGGCAGCTAAAACACCCTCAGCTGTTGGCAGATCGGGTGTTTTTAATCGATCTCAGGCTGCTCCCATCAACCAAGGTTAGTTTTGAAGAGTAGCAACTTTATCAATCTTTTAAACTGTGTAGATAACCACTACTCATCAACAGCTAGATGAGCAAGTTGGTTCCACCTAATTCTCTCGTTATTTCAGCCAGCGCCTCTTCAGCCTCCACCCCCTTATCCAGCAAGACTCGTCCAAACGGAGCGACAGCTAGCGAAACGGAGCCTTTGAAGGACAAGGCTGATCCAGCCGATCTGTTCAAGTACCTGAGCACGAAGTACGAGGTGCCAAAGAACACCATCAGTTCAGATTTCAGTTCTGCCTCTTCTGAAACTAGAGCTGGTTCAAAGGTATGATGATCTTCTTTTCTCAATTTATTGTTGTGTGCTTATAAAAAGTTGCCGCTTTTCTTGTTTCCATCCCACTTGTCCACTTCAGTTGAGCTCTGGCATTCAATTTAATATTAAATTATTGTGATATCTATTCTTAGAATCAAAGTGCTATTGACTAATAAAGTTGTGAGTTTCTGCCTTCAACTGATTTACTGGTATTTTGGATTAAACAAAAAATCACTTTTTACGGCACAATCAATCAATAAAATATTACAATGATCCATACCGCGGGGTTTGGGAGAAATCTGGGCTCGCAATAAATCTGGGCTTTCGTTGTTCACATTTAAAGTATGTTAAATTTCGTTTGGGTAATGGAAATCGGGGTTTGCCGTAAATATCGGTATATCGGGGTTTCACTTTATTATAAGTTTTACTCAAAGTTAAAGTGGTGGTCCGGACTCCGGTGCCAAAAGTAATCACTTTTTGTAACTTGAGAACCATAGCGTATGGCCAGCTTAAAAAATATGATATTACTTATTAGGCTATTAGCTCTACAATCTTGAATTTAGAGAAATAAATCTAAGAGTAAGATATGTACTCCTGCAACTCTAGAGCGCTGTGTTCAGTTTTTAGAACTGTACAGTTTAAAGGGGCCATGTAGTTTTAGCAATACCAAGTTCTACCAAAGGTACCATCAAGTGGTATGTTATCAGGGTCCAGGGACAATGAAGGATCAGAATGGAACTGACTCATTTGTAAGCACCCAGCATGAGAATCTATACTTCTTGATGTGTTTATATAGATATTCTCTAAATGAATTTTGAATTGGGGGCCAGAAATATTCGGTACTACAACAATTTGGACTCAAAGGACCATGCAGAAGCAGATAGCATTGATTATCCGGCGACGGATGTTATGAGAGCTTCAAATTTTGATTCCCAAATTTCTGGCTTCCAGGGTATTCTAGCCTTAAATAAAACACAGACGCATGCTCTGGGGTCTGGGTGTTTATAGTTTACGATATCAGTTGATGTTACTGAAAATAAAATTAACCATCCAGTATTTTAACTATCAACGTGGTGTATTTATTATCATATTAATCGTAAGCTTTTACTCAGAAGTACTGTCTCAGAGTACTATTTGGTGATAGGCTGGCGTACCTTGATAAGTTTAAGACTTGTGCACGTACTAGGCCTATAGGACACCAGAAACTTGACCAAAAATTTTTCATAAAAGAACACACCAAACCGATATTCAAGCATAATAATATTCTAGCTATACAAAATCTCTATACATACCACAGTTACCTCGAGCTCTACAAGATAATGAAATTCCGTGCTCCAATATCCCTATATGAGGGTTACACATGTTCGTCGAGGAAACCCTGCCTTCTTATCTGTCAGGTAGACCCACCTGACAACCACAACACTAGGTCAACCAAAATTTTTAACATTTTAACCCCAAAGTTCAGAATGACTGACTTTACTACTAGTGTAATGTGCTTGCGAGGAAAACTTAAAAGTGCGCTATTAGCCAATCAGCATAACCACGCCCTGCTTGATTGGACCGTAAAAGATTTTGGCTGCACAAATATTATCTTCCAAACATTATAACTGGCTGTTCACACACATCTCAATTAAATTCCTCTAGGCTACTGTTTTCCAAGTCTTGTCCTGTGAGTAAAGAATGTGTGAGAAGGTATTAATAAAATAAATGTATATTTTTTGAATTTTTAAATCTAATCTGAGAATGAAGTATAAAGAAATTTTTAATTAGCACTGTATAGTTTAAGATATTTATAGCTTATTATAACCATTGATACAAAGGCCATAATCTTTCGCAAGCGCTTTAATATCCACCTTGAAGCCACATTTTATATCCTTGAACCACACAATATAAACTAAAGCATGTTTTAGTGTAGACTTTTTGTCACAACAAGACTGCAACCTATAGTAACAACTATAAACAGAACCCCTAATGTCTACTAACAAATTTCTTCTAGTCCTAAAATGAGCCCTGTCTCTAAAAACCTAACTGAACTAGCGTTTCGGTGTGTGCAAAAGCTTTCAGGCACGCGCATTCCTTGCCCCGTTAGTTACCTGTCCTTCCAAAACCAAACTAGCAGTCAAGGACAAAAAGTCATACACCAAATGGGCATTATATTTTATGAATTGTTTTACATCTTTTTATTCTGTAAAATGTGCTAAAATTAAATTTCTTGTTTCATTGAAAATTTCTTGTTTCATTGAGATCTTAATCGAGTGTTTGACTAAAAATCATCTATTTCTTGTGAGTTGTATTATTTACCGTTTATTTATGTACAGTATTACTTACAATTATGTTACATTTTTATACGCTTGTTTTTCTTTGCCTCTCGTTACGATATCAATAATTCGCAAATCATTGGTCTTTATGAAGAAAGCCTCATCTGAGTTCTTAATTTAATTTCTAAAGAAAGAAACTTATTTATTATTATCCCGTACTTTCACCAATCAACTCTTCGTTGAAATGCTGGTAGAATTCCGCCTATTTTTTAATCCGCTGGGGAGAAGGGAGTGTTTTTGTGTTCTTAAACCACCACCAATCAATTTGTCGTAAAATTTTAGGTCAGAATGATCGCAGATAAAGTTCCCACTAATGTGGCTGCACTTAAGCACTTTTCTCAGAAAACGAAATTTTCAAATTTTCTATTTCAGCGTGTCCCCTTTTTACAACCAATGTTTCATCACAACAGTTTAAGGCTAATTTTTCGTTTTACTTTCGATGACCAATGGTTTGAACAGGTCATTTTCATCAGAACATGGAGTTTTTGCTGATGTGGCTGTACTTAAGCACTTTTCTCAGAAAACGAAATTTCAAATTTTCTATTTCAGCGTGTCCCCTATTTACAACCAATGTTTCATCACAACAGTTTTAGGCTAATTTTTCGTTTTGCTTTCGATGACCAATGGTTTGAACGGGTCATTTTCATCAGAACATGTAGTATTTGCCGATGTGACTGTACTTAAACACTTTTCTAAGAAATTCAAACTATAATTTGTGATTTTGAGGCACTTTCCGAGAAGTTAGGATGATGAAACCTTGTCAGAAGTCTCAAAAGTCGACAAAGTACCTTAGAAACATAGTGGGTGCAGTTTTAATTGGACAGTAGCTAGCCCAGAGCAAGTACAGAATTGAAATCTTTAACCTCAATTTGCACAAAATGAACCTTGTGTTACTTAAGCACTTTTGTCAGAAAACGGCAGATATATGGTCGCTTAACACAAAGCTGAAATGTGAAATTGGGAAAAATTGTAGAATACGGCACACTATCCCAGAAAAGCTCTACAGTAAAACAAAATTTAGTAAAACAAAATTTTTATTTACCACAAAACAATCAATACATATTTAATATTATTATACATTTACAAATAAATCTAAATCTAAATTCAGCTATATACACAATACACAGCCCGCCGCGCAGACAGCCACACATTGCTGAGAGATTCTCAGGTGCAGATGTAAGCGCCGCGCGCGAGGTTTGTTATCTTACAATTACATGTCACGATATATTATTAATTATCAGAGAATTTTAGAAGCAAAATAGTAATTGCATATTGGGAAAATTTCGGTCGTTAACGCAGTACAGGGCGTGGACACTGCAATGCTTATAACGGAAAGTTTTGAGGCACGAGTTTCATTCAGCTACCCAATTTATATGTGACATGTACTTGTATTAAATTCAGATAAATGTTAGTAACAATCGACGCCAACATTGCGCAACTGTAAACTGCAAAATGTTAACGTCGATTATCACTAAATCACATCTCGCAAGTTACTAATTCTTTGCACTATATATGTTACGTCACTATAGCATATGTCATTCATATTGTACGTTATATAAGATAAAAATAAACATTTTATAATTGTTTCAATGTTCAACACCGCTAAAAAACAAATACCTACTTGCCCATCGATTAAGCAGTCGCCAAAACAAGGCTCAAAGTTAATTTACCTTCACACCTCGTTTTGGAGACTGAAGGATGTCAATAAATAAAGAATGGATAACATTAAGGGGGCAGGGGGGGGGGGTCTTCATGGAAATTTTCTCAAAATCGACTTTTTAGTTGTTTCTGATAGATGGGAGTGATATCTATCAGATGCTTTTAATCCGATAGAAAAATATTGCTCCTAGCAGAAATTATCGCCGGTAGAAGGTCAGCGCTTGTGTGTAATTGTATTGCGCAAGCGATTTTTGATCGCGTGCCCTGAAAATCGAGTCTAAAAATCTATCTCCTCCTACATTTTTTGAGCAATCACCCTCAAACTTTCAGGATATGTTCTAGGGATCATTTAGAAGAGATTGTCCAGGCAAAATTTTGAGATAGGCCTTTAAACGTTTTTTATTCGATTTTGAAAATCTTGGACCTGGTTTTTTGACGATTTTTCGAGGTCCAAGATTTTTAAAATCGAATAAAAAATGTTTAAAGGCCTATCTCAAAATTTTGCCTGGACAATCCCTTCTAAATGATCCTTAGAACATATCCTGAAAGTTTGAGGGTGATTGCTTAAAAAATGTAGGAGAAGATAGATTTTTAGACTCGATTTTCAGGGCACGCGTTCAAAAATCGCTCGCGCAATACAATTACACACAAGCACTGACCTTTTACCGGCGATAATTTCGGCTAGGAGCAATATTTTTCTATCGGATTAAAAGCATCTGATAGATATCACTCCCCTCTATCAGAAACAACTAAAAAGTCGATTTTGAGAAAATTTCCATGAAGACCCCCCCCTGCCCCCTTAAAGAGATCATGAAGTGTAAATTTGCGAATTCTTCAAAAATACTCGAAACTTGGGTAGTGAGCTAGGCTTGGTAATTCTGCCACAATCTCAAAATAGCTCCGTCATAATTGCTTCACAAGCTGAGATAATATGGGGTATATCAATTACATTTTTCCAAGTTGTGGCTAGGTGACGGGATAGCATATACGACATGTGTAAAAACACCTGATTTTAATTGTCCATAACAAGTTTTCTGTTGGTTTTTTTGTTGAACCGACAAGATTACCATCAGGTATAAACCATTATATTCCACATATCTTCCTAAATTTGGTGTACAGCGATTAATCTAGTTCCTACAAGCAATTAAAGACAGCTCACTTCATGAAATTTGAATGTAGCACGATCAGTGTTCAATTTGTTTACTTTCGTTTTGTACGGTCTTTGTATTTTAAAGCTTGCGAATGTGTGCTTTCTTGAATAACGTGTAATGTGTAGACACGAACCTAACATATGTATCCGTAGTCTGTACCCCGTAGATAAAAGTCTTATCTTCCAATTAAAGAATTAATAACTAAGTCAGAGCTGTTACAAATTTTCGCGTTTGTCGACTGCGGCACGTGTTTTCAGAGTATAGTAGGTCAAGCTTTGCAATTATGACATTACTAAATATATTAGTTTAGCTTCATTCCATTATCACTGCAACAACTCTTTACTAGTTAAAATTTATCAAAAGACGGTTGATGGTAAGACATTGTGCAGTCGGAGGTTGTAACAACCGTGAGGGAAGAGACACCAGTAGTAGGAGAAGCTTTCTGGTTTTTCATTCCGTCCCAAGCGATGCAAAACGTCGAACAGCATGGGATAAAAGAGTGAACAGGGCCGACCATGAACAAGGCCTTAGATATTCAAGATACCTGTTTAGTTTCACCATCAATGATGCTGTAAAACGGGGAGACTATCTAAAAGCACATTTGACACAAAAAAAGTGGAGATATTTAGCCTACAAATCATTTGTGAATTTGATAAGCTCCCAAGATTTGGATAAAAAGGTTCGATACGTACTTCCATCATGTGTTGTGTCGGCGATCCGAGAAAAGTTTCCAAACACAGATGGATCAAGATATACGGGTTTTATCAGTATCGGAACTGATGATGGACATATTTTGCCATGAAGTTAACAAGTAAATGTTTGTATCCAGAAAAAACTATTTACAATTTAAGGTTAGTTTAAGTAATAGGTTCTTACAAACGTGTATTGTTATTTAGCGTTTGGTAATTGAATGTTTTTCTTCCTACAACATAACACAGCAGTACGTAAACTTATAAGACAATTATTTGATGCTTGTGTATATTATGCACATTATTCAACCACAATTTTCGAAAGATAAAAGTCAAATCTATCAAGTGTCGTTAATTTGAAGATTTTATCAATTAAATTGGCGCCACAGCACATGAATAAAAATGTGCGTTTTAACACTGTTTCTATTGCGGTGTCTGACAGTTAGCCACAATCCAACAAATTCGGGCGATCTTCCTGTATCGATTTCACGCGACATAATTAAGTTACGAATCTGGGAATTCCGAGCCCTATTGTTATATTAGTGTTTCTATGTGATAGTATATGTGAAATGTTTTGACGATTAAGTCGGGGACACTTCATGATCCCTTTAATACTGAATATGATGGATAATCAGTAATATCAATAAGATCCACAATCACTAATCATGTTTTCGATGGGCAAGCACTCGCAACTGGATGCTGAAACAAACGGCGCAAGTCTTGCACCGTTCATGCAGCATACGTCGCGAGATATCATGAGCTCCGCTAACTCTGCGATTCTAACGGATGAATTAGGCTACCCCGACAGAGACACAGGTAACAGGGGGTTGTGGAAGGACACGAACACTGTTCGTTAACAAAGAACTGTATTACACTATTTGAATCACACTTACGATTTGGAGTATCGGTATGGGGCGGCCTTAGTAGTAACAACAGGGTCAAACCAATATTTATCACCCAGAAGAAAGAGAGGTTTACTTAAATAAGTTCAGAACTTGTACTAGAACACAAAGTAGAGACAAGCGAAAGTTAGGAAGCGAATTCTATGAAAAACAGCACACAAAACCGCTATTTAAGGTTTACTAACCTTATATAACATAGTTTGTACAAACACACATGTTGGTCTTCATGGAAATTCAATTGACATGCCAGTACAGAAAGTATGAAATTTGCGTGGTCACGCAGCGAATATTGCGCGCCATGCCGCTATTTTTGCCACATTTAAAGCCTTTTAAAACTAGGTAGATCCCATATTACTGATTGTAGAGCAGCTCAGTTCAGTTGAGCAATAACAACAAAACTTATCAGACTATACAACTTCCTATAATTCTCATATAATTTGCACATGGGTGGACGTACACACACACACAAAGAGAAACTCTAATTACAATATGAAATGTTGTAATGCACTGTTATTTAAATTTTTTGACACTATCTACAGTGGCATAACGTTGCCTGTTGGCGCCCCCCCCCCCCCCTATGATTTTTATATACCTATGTATTCCTCGCATAATTTCCATGTCCGCCTGAACAAACCTGGCACCATCAAATCTTACTTCTAGAAACCCCAGAACTCATCAAGCCTAGTCTGAATTCAAAACTAGTTGACCAGCTACGTACAGTTTCCTAGACAACTGGAACCTTTTGGGCCATGCACTAGCCAATAGCATGTATGGTCCTGCAGTGGGGTCTCCTTGTCCTTGGATCTGTGTTTTGATCCGTCTTTTCATAAAATTTTCTATTTGTATCACTTAGACTCACCTATTCAATGTTAATCGACACCACTGGTCCTAGTTAGATTTAGCCATGGCACGACTTCTCAAACGTAACAGTTAAATAGGTGTGACATACTATTATATTATTATAATTATATCATATGAATTGATTGGACTGCTAATTGGAACGCTGTTCATAAAAAAATTTTAACTTCAAGCAATTGCCTAGAAACGTCCATTAGCTTGATAAAACTGAGAACCAAAGCACTATTAATACAAGCACAGGCAGCTGACTTCAATGAAACTAATAAATCAATGAAACTAATAAATCAATGAAACTAATAAATCAATGAAACTAATAAATTGCAGTAATCAAATCTAATTGCAGCGGCACACACTTACTATTACTATCATGATTGTACTATAGACAGAAAATCTTTCAAATCGATTTTGGGCGCTTTTTAACCATTTGTTGTAATGTTTTTAGTTACTAAATATCTAAATTTATAAAATTTTTTATCGGAACGAATTAATTGATATTTAATAATTTATTCGGTAGGTTTATCTGGTATTGATATTGATTATATTGATATTTTTATTATTGAACGAAGCTAACTCTAGACATAGTTAATACTACTTCTTTTAAGAAAGGGACTTGGAGTATAAACGACCAAGTTTGCATAAATTTCTATCCACCCAAGAACTCAGGAGGCAAAGGTGGGTGCGTAAACTTTTGGTCTGCACTCTCCGATCCTGTATCACCCTGGATTCTTCTCGGCGTATCTTTGTAAAGGGTATATACCTTCTAGTCAATCTCTTGCTACTCCAAGTCCCCTAAGATATCTGCTCTAAAGTTCGTGCTAGTTATATATGTATGAAATATATTTTTGTCTGCTTTAATTGATACTAAATAAAATTGTTGTTTTCTTAAATTGTTGTTTTCTTGAATTATAAATAAAATACTTTGTTTTACTAAAAAATCAGTCGGTGGCTGTGGCAATATTATGGCTAGGAATTAGATTCTTGAATTCCTCACTTTATGCCACTGGGGCGGGGTCAGCGGGGCCCTTCGTTACGCCACTGATTATCTAATAAAAATGTCTATAAGATTTATAGAAAGCAAGTTCAATAACATTAGTGATATCTGATTAAAGTGAACTGAACAATCATAAAGTACGGTAAAAACTATTTTAATTGAAATATGGTTGAACATGTATTGAGTGAAGCTACATAAAGCATTCATCTGGTCAAAAGTTTTCCAAAATCTGGTCATCTGGTTACTTGGGGCATCAAATTTTTTACCTGGGTCGCACCAGTCTTTTTTCTTGTCATCTGCACTGTAGGTTCTGCTTTGCACATACAAGATTTGATTTTCTTCAACACAAACGTTTTGAAATCGTGACTACAGAGGGTATATAGAATAGGGTTTCCAAATGAATTAAGGAAATAGAGATAAATTGTAGCTTGTGATAGTCCTGGATGGGAGCCCTTCATGCCCCCAAACCTTTTGATAAATCCTGGCAACCAAGACATTATCAACAGAAGTGACAAACTTCCAACTGTGATTGTTGCTTGTCTTCGTCGCTTTTCCAACATTGTTTTCATCCCAATCTTCGTTATTCTTATTTGACTGTTGGCTTTTACATTCCTTGTGTAGATGAATGTTTTTATGGCTAGTAGAATGTTGCACAGTATGATTATTGAAAAAGGTGTTATAAGAAACATCGTAGAATACAAGATGTTCTCCACACCATTGTAGTTATAGTTTAAGATGCAAGTTGAGATTTGCTTCACAAAAACTGCTTTTGTTACCACAAATAGACTTCTGAATCCAAGTATGCTTGAATACAACCATAGTGCGTAGCAAAGTGCCTTTGAATGTTTAAGCAGAAGTTGGAGATTTCTGAGGGGAAAGGAGAGCATTGTCAATCTGTAGACTGTAAGTGCTGCTATCAAGTTAACATTGGCGATTGCAGCAATCGAGGCTGTTGTTGCAGATATTAAGCAGACTTTATAGCCAAACTTCCAAACAATCGTCAAGTTTGTTATCATCACTGGGACCACCCTTGCTATTATGTAAAGCAGGTCTGAAATTGCTAGATTCCTGATGAAACACATGTTTGTCCTGTTCATGTGGAATACATGGTTTTTTCTTGTTGTTGCATAGATGATAAAAGTATTTCCTATGGAGCCGGCGACGGTAGTGAAGAGCGAATAAGAGAACAGGATAAGGTTGACACCTGTAACCACGTTTTCTGTTTTATTGTTTTCCATTTTATGCCTGCATGAATTGTTGTTAAAGACCGCATAATATTTTAAAATATTTATTTAAAAGTCTCATTATGTTATCATTGCAATTGCATACAAGGATTGGAGTATGCTGAAATAAACAATTAAGTGTATTCACTGTAAAATTGACCAGCTCACTAAAATGAATAAGATCTGAGCAGACAAGCAAAGAGTCGAGCTCACATTCATATATCTAGTTAAAGTTTAGATCAATTGATCCTCTTGATCTTCCTTAGATTTCTCTTCCTCGATTATAACTGCCAGAACTGACAAAACGCTTTTGATGGCTCATTAAGATCACCCAGGAACCCAATCAAAGTGTTTTTAGTGTACTTGTGCCATTTGCACTCACTCCAACACTTATATGATATTACACTACAGCTACAATCTATAACCTAATATCCCAAGATTTTAAGCAATTCTTCTTTCTTATAATATAATTGTATCTAAAATCATCATCTATTTAGGATCTTGAAGCAATGTTTGACGATGAATGCGAACTTACAAATGAGGAAATCCTCGAGCTTATGGAGAAACCAAACCCACATGGGCTGGAGCCTTTCGGGCCAGACTGGGAGAAGGAGATGGACATGCATCCTTTGTTTATGGATGATGTACCTCAAGAAGTTATTGATGGTTTGCAATTTGTAAGCTATTTATTTAAAATAAAATCCTTAGCAGTATTTAAATTGAAAGTATAACCCACAAATTAAAGCTTTTTTTCACCGCCAATTGAATAAATCAAACTACCGTTATGCATAAACTATATTCTTAATACAGGAACATTCGAGAGAACAAAGTGGCCAGTATTAGCATCTCATCTTGACATGATGTACGATGATGATGAAGATTTGGAGTATACTGCAACATGTTACAAAGATGATGGAAATGTTGAGTACAAAAAGGGAACTAAAGAAGGCTTCATAAAAGCTATCATCTCTTATACAGGTTAGTTGAATATACCATGATACTTGTTCAGGGTAATTGGCTTAAGGTTTAGAAGTTATACTTATGTAGATGGTTTTAAAGGATTCTTAAATAATATCAACATGGACAAGTAGGTATTATGTGTGATTAGTATTAGTGTGTATTAGTGTGACTGTCAATGATACATATTTTGTGTCCTTTTATTCCACAGATGTGGGAAAAATTAAACGGTTTAAGTTGTCATTTGTCACTTGTCACTTAATCCTCTAAATGTATATTATAAATTACAGAAGGATTGAAAAAGAACTGTGTCAACGAAGAGCTGAATTCACAATTATATTGCAACCGAGCTGCAGCTCAGTTTTCTATTGGAAATTACAGGTATTTTCATGTATGAAATGAATCAGTGTAATTCTTGTTGCTCAAAAGTTGAAAATATGTTTATGAAGTTCTTCATTATGTAAATACTTATCTTTTATCTTATTCTCATGATGATACCTGCAACTATGCATTAATCAGCAGTCTTTCTTTCGAATTGTCCCAAAAAATAGCTAGGTTAATGGATAAAAAGGGGAATCATCTTGAAACAGCAATTTACGGGACAGCGATACTTGAAACTGCAATGAATGATGAGCTTTAAGTACTTCGATTAACAAAGAAAATAATCGACTTTAATTCGGACAACACAACCCCTATTTCGTGGCTAGTAATGGATGTCAAACCATTAGCACTGCACTGCGAAAGCTCTTGTCGATATAGAGAATACTAATAGCAAGGGTGCCCACTGCCCATCTAGATTCTTTTCAACAGAAGGGGACTAAGTGGAGTATTATCAATGTGTGACGCCTGTCTTTGTGTTGAATGGCGGCCCTGCATCCATTAGCATCTCTGACGTTAGCCATGGACAAGGCAACGTATGGTAGCACGATTGAAGATAATATTGTACTAGCTGAAGAAGATTTTATTAACTGTCAGAAAATTTAATGGTCTAAATCCAGGAGAGCTACTCAAGATTGCGAGAAAGCATTAGAGCAGAACCCAACTTACGTGAAGGCAATTACTCGTGCAGCTCAAGCTCAACTCAAGTTAGGTGAGGTGAAATGTTGCCACTTTAATGAATTTACCATTTTAATGTTGGGGAGGGGATTTATACCGTGTGGCAATAGTTATAACATGTTGCAAATACAACAAGGCAGATCAATTGGGATATTCTGGGACCGTGAAACAACCATGAAGTGAACGACATAAGGAATCCCGATTTCCTCTTCTGTAGAAAATGCACAAATCACAAATTATGTCACCCTAACTAACCTTGAGTTAAAGAACATTGCCACTTGATATCAATTCAATCAGAACTGCCAGAGCTGAATTATAACTATTGGTCGAACTCATGTTATAAATACACGTTGGCTTATAATGATAACGATAATTTGAAGACACGTCCCTTTCTCAGGTAACAGGACAGCTGCGATTGCTTGGTGCGACAAGGCTTTAGCGATTGACAAGCACAGTAAAGTCATTATAGAGATGAAAGTCAAAGCTTTACAGGTATATTATATCACGCGGTGGTTATGGAGGGTTGTCGTATGTGCACCGCCGCGCTGATATTACAATATCTGTAATTTGACAATTGACGTTTTTCCCAGTAAATCTAAATGGGCCTATCTGACATTTATCACGCAGTTGAATTGTTATAAAAATGTGGTGAAGTGGTACCGGATCGATTTTGGTGATTTAATAAATAATAATGCGGCGAAATCATATCAAATATAAGGGTGGGGTGGCGAGAGAGAGAGTTTTATTGACGTTGCAGCATATATCTGTATTATATCACAATCGAACTAACAGTAAGATATATATATCATTATACCACATAATACCTTCGATATCAGCCCGTGATGCGTACTGTCCTTCACTACGTTAATGAATTATCACGCTCAGCCCTCATTGGTGACGTATCATGGTATAACAATCAAACTGACAATAAGCAATATACAGATATAACTTATGCAATTGTAGGGGATGCTAGTACTATAGTACGTTACTTCAAGTGATTGCACTAAACTCCACGAAACTTCTGTTGAATTGGGGTTACCTCTATTTTAGTGTTTGTATTAAAAGTCAAATCGGCTATCAAAGTTATAACGGGAGCAATAGCAGGAACCCACAAACTCTGTAAAGTAAGCATATTGTGTTTGTTCTGATTGATCTCCTGAGGTTAACATACAACTTTGGAGTGGTGTAAACACGCTTATCACAGAAAATATCTAATTCATTGAGCATAATATCATCGCACGATCCTCCATACATATTCTCCTGCTAGATTAACATTTAGTGTAGCATATCGGGGTCTGCGGGGCCCTTTGTTGGAGGGCATAAGTGAGCAATCCATTTACTTCCATAACTAAGCAATTAATTTTCCCGTTTAGTAAATGAGCAATTCAGTAATATCTTTGATAAGCATTTTAATTGTTGAATTGTTGTTTATAATTGTTCAAATTTACGTCAGCATGCAGGTGCAACCTCATAGAAAATGGGAGAATAAAATACTCAAATGCATTGTGATGACCTGGAGTGCACGACTCTTTAATACAACTCTTTTATTACTTATTGTATCATTATTTTTATACGTTTGGTGAATTGTTACTGCGTAAGATGATGCTGAAAACACTTGCTCTGACTCTGGTTCTTTTGGTCGTGTGCAATGGTAGAAACTTAATCCGAGAGGAGCGCCAGGCCCGGCTAAGGAAGAAGAGTTTTCCAGTTTTCTCACCAAATATGAGGAGTGTTAGCCCTGGTACAGGTAGCCCTGTCTCTGAATACATGTCAGGTCCGAGTGAGGGACCTAGCGAGGGTCCTAGCGAGGGTCCTTGGGAGGTTGAGAGGCCTATAGGAGAATCTACTTTCAATAAAGTGGCTCAACAGATTAGCTCCGTGGTTGTTGGAGTGTGGAAGAATACAATTACCTGGAAGACTGACAATGTTGGGGAAAGAGACTTGAATTTTTAGACCAATGCAGCTTGAAGAATGAGATTTCCAGAGAAAAGATTTGGCTATAATATGCAATGTACCGAGGAATATTTGATAATTTGTAATAATATGCTAAATTTACTGGGTCTGTGTACTAACCGCGAACTTTCAAATTTATTCTCTGTGATATTTATAAACCGGCACAATGCACATGTATATTGGTAATTATTTGTTTAGCAATCGAAAGTGTAGTTTTTTGTTTAAATCATTTTTCGTTATTAGCACTATTTTGTGTATCAATTTTATTTACGACGTTAGACTGGTATGTAAAAATGAGTACCATAGCACAGAATAATCTGTCACGATAAAAATGATATAATGAAAAAAATGATCGAATCCTGCCTCCGTACAAAAAGGTGTCAAAACCAATTCCCATCTGCAAATGTTTCTGTTTCCCATACAGAACAGTATATAAATTCAAGATAATTTAAATTTTAGAAACTGAAGGAAGACGAACGCAACGCAAGGAAACGTGCGGCCCAAGAAGCAAAGGAACAACGGAAAAACACAATATTACTCGAGGCCTTTCGACTGAGGAATCTTAATCTATTTTTACCAGGTTAAAGATGTTCTATATTTCCTTCAGTTGAAACTTCACCAGAGATTAAATGTTTACTATTCAAAAATATTGACAATTAAATGTTCGGAAACTAGAATTCTATTAATTATCCTAATTAATTCTATTAATTACCCTAATTATTGTCCTAATCCACAATCTAATTTTTCTTTTGACACTCGTTAGAGAAGATCATGGGACGTCTCTAAAAATAGCGACCAGATCAGATTGTAGCAAACAAACACAACTGATTGAACTGTTTGAATTTGATTCTAACTCTAATTCTAACTTCAGAGGAGGATGACGAGGAAACAGCAGAGGAGCGGGACGCGCGCCTCCTGGACAGTTTGAAATGCACGTCACACGGTCACGTGACCCTTAACGAGGAGGGACAGTTAGTCTGGCCTGTCAGACTCCTGTACCCTGAGCACGCCACCAGTGACGTCATCCGGCAGTTCTCGGAGGTACGTGTTGTCAGGTTACTGTGTCTCATGTCTGGGTTCACTTGGTTCATTACTAATCATGACATTTTTGAGAGGTAATAAGGATTACTGGGCAGATATTTCGGGGTGTTTCAACAATTATTTTAAATGAGAAAGCAGTCTGACGACGGAAAGCAATCATAATCTGTAGACCTATTTTAGAACAGCCACTAGATGACACTTAAGATAGAAGATGTCTTATGTTATAAATAGTAACAGTGCTGACTGCTGATACTGTTTAACTAGCTGTTTATTCAAATATTCACCGTCTGCCCTGGTGGGTGACATATTAAATGCTTCAATTCGAATCTGTTCCTCAGATTGTCGACATAAATAACTAGAATATCTGATACATAAAGAACAAGGTTTTAGAGCCTTAACCCCGTGCATAGCGCACTTAGTATAATGTATTCGTCGTTTCAATTGTGAAGATAACAACTAGAACTACAGAAGAGAAATAAAATTTACACCTTTTTAGTTAACATCATGTATATTTTAGAGCAATATCTGCCGTTTTCTGACTAAAGTGTTTAAATACCACTCAAAGATCTGAAGTTTTCAAGCACTTTTGACGAATTATGACACATTGTGGCATTTTAAGCGGTTTCTAAAGGGGGTTTCTGAGGGCCAGTGATTGGTTCTAATGATGTTGAAGGTTTTCAGAGATATTTCTTGACCCAAAAAAGAAATTTGGGTTTTAAAGAATTCAAAATTTCAAAAATGGTCTTTAAGCACGTTTGTCAGAAAACGGCAGATATGTAAAAGATGTCACATATCCCCGTACTCCCCAGGTAAATAGTTTATCAGACCATCTGTCCTACATGTTCCCGCCTGGTGGTGACAGCCCGGAATGGGACCCTGACAGAGAATACACGCTTCCTAAACTGTGTGCTATTTACCACGCTGGTTAGTCACGCCCCCCCCCCCCCCAGTCACACTTGTTTATTGTTTATTTAGTTCTCACCGAGACATAGTTTTCTAGTGGCACTAACAGTGGCCTGGAAAACATCATACCGCATGTATAAAGTTGTTGAAAAGACCATACCGTACTATTTTGGGTATCTTTTTATTCTTGAACAGTTGAACGAATAAGAATAGTAATTCAAGTTTTTAAAGGACCAGTTAACTGAAAAAAAAGTTATCCTCATATTTTGACAGATTGTGACAAATAGCAAACTAAGCAACGAGTCGAAATTCCTAAATCTCTAACTGCTCTCTAACGCGTGTAAATAGCGTTTGTATTATTTTGGCGATGACGTCATAAAGTCCCTCCCGCGCGCAGAAGAGCTCGTGAGACTGTATTTTACAGGTAGAAAATGGACATAATACAATCTTTTCCCCCAAATAACTCGAAAAGTAAGTAATTTAGGGTACATGTTGCTTCATAAGTTGTATATAAACATGGCCATTCTGCACAATTTGCACACATTCAAAAACATTTAGGGCCTTCATAGCCCAAGTTACCAGATACCCATAGTTTTGTATGATTTCTGGAACCAAAAATCAGTTTTTCGCCAATAAATGAAAAAGTAAGCACTTTAAGGCATATGTTTGTTCGTAAGTCATATATTAATATGCTAATTGCGGTTCTTTTGCACCCTGTCTAAAGACTCTATCACGATCCTATCGAAAATGGGCTCAGCACCACGCCCAAAATGGTTTTTGGCGAATTTCTCGAAAAGTAAGGATTTTAGGCCATGTGTTGCTCAATAAATCCTATATAAACATGCATATGCGGCTTCGTTTAAGCCTATTTTGAAGCCTCTACGACCTTCAGAAGCAAGGGGTCGGTTACGTTATTGGGTCAATATGGGCGTGGCCCTCCTGGGTTATCTCCACGGTCAAAAAAATGTCTCCAAACGAAAATCGTTTATTCATACCCTTAGGAAGGTCTGTGCAAAGTTTCGAGAGTATTTGAACATTTGCAGGTTCATTTCCATAAATGTCCATAAATGACTGGAGTACACAACTTAAGAGTTAACTTTAGAGAAACTCATAAGTCATTTATCTCAAATTAAGCTGTTAGTGTCCATGATCAACCTGTGGCGACAATGTTTTACTTGAAATGTAAAAATCAGGAGTAATATAAAAAGTGTATTTTTAGATTAAAGTGCTAGCTCATAGTTTTAGAATTGTATAGATTATAACGTCGGTCGTTTAGCCATCTAACAATCGATCGTGCCGTAATATATGGCCAGAGAATAATAGGGTCTTGGAAATTCTATAATTGTTCAGTGGGTCGATTGACTGAACAGTGAACACGTTTGCACTTGGTATTTAAACTTACCAGTAGTTTATTTATGTTATGTACCGATGATAATGCAATTAGGATAACAACTAGGTAAGCCGTAAGTCTAATTCAAAACACACTGCACACCGTACACTCCGAACAGTATTACTGTTTGGTAGACCCGAGACCGGGTATTTTGGCGGGAATTCTGTTCCCACGGCACTGTTCTGATAGAAGCTACTTCTACTAATAGTCCCTTCTACTATAATGGTCCCAGAGGAACGGCCGTAAAGTAGCCAGACTTCTTGTCTCCTGTACTGGCTGACACATGCGGATTAAAGTTATAATTTTCGCTATGCTATAAATATAATTGCTCTCGGAATTGAACAAACTCCTACTTATCTAGATCCTTTCTAAATTCGTTAGAGTTTCATGGACAAAAATAATCGGTACAGTCTCCCTAGCTGCTTGTGTAATTAAGCAATGAAAGCAATCCAAAATTATCACATATGACATAAGTTGTTATAGCAGAAACTTTCTAACCGTACATTCACCCGCCACTGTTCAAGAACCTATATCACTGTTTAAAATCAAGACGTGAGCACTGTACATCCAATCAGCTATTCCTTTACTTAGAATGATAGCCAAAACTATAAGGATTTTGGAGAACTAGGGTAATAGTCATAATTCTAAAATTTGAGTGAGTTACATGTGTTTTATTGACGATGATAAACATTTGTAATGTAAATTACGCTATGCAAGCGCGCACTGAGGGACTTTATGACGTCACGAGGCCACAGCTTATTATTGCAATAACACGCGTTACACGTACGATAGAGAGTTGGTTCTTTCGGCGATACGATTCTTTACCAGTTTGTCACAGCTGATTTAAATCTTAGCCAAATTGGAGACTACAAATTTTTCAGTTAACTGGTCCTTTAAAGAAGATTACTATAATGAACTGGCTATTTTCACCAGGAAATGACAGAGTGGAAATGGACAAGGAAACAAGCCTACTGGAGCTACTGACAAAACACAACATTCAGATAATCACTGGAGTGCCTACATTCGAGATCTACGTCAAGGGTTCGGACTCTTACACTAAGAACGTTTTGTCAGGCAGCTGATGATTGGAACTTCATGAGAATTCTTTGTAGCTTAAGTTATTTTTTCTAATAGTTTGTTTAAAATGTAAAGGGATAAATAATTTGATTGCGAAATGTATGGGATAAATTATTTGGCTGTGAAACAACAAATGGCCTTTCCAATGCGAAGTGTTGTTATGATAACTCTTGAATCAGATCAACCAAAATAATTAAAATCTTATTTTAATACACAGTATTGATTGTTTGACTGTTTTTAGGCCAGGTTTCTGCTACTATTTGACGAAAGATTATGTTCAATGTAAACTGATTCTGTACGAAATTTTAGTTTTTACAGATGTTTTTAAGACTCGTTAATTACTTCATTAACTAATTATGTAACTATGGAAACTATTTTTCCAATCCTCGACCCTGGTGTCCTAGTGAGGAGTTGTTCACATTCCAACAAATTTTATAACGTTACTTGATAAAGTGCACATTTACTACCACTCCATCTCTGTACAACATGGACAGCCAGATTAATGGCTAAAATTGGTCACTGCCAGAAATGTTCAAGTGTAAAACTGCTGTAGGTTAAGAAGATGATGTAACACAAATCAGCATAATAGAAGAAGAAGAAGAAGAAGAAGAAAACAGAGCAGTGTGTAGTGAACGTTTCTCCCAGCCCTCTTCCGATGGAGGGGTACGAAGACTGGGATTTTGTACAGACGTTGGGAGAGGGAGCTTATGGAGAAGTTAAACTGGCTATATCCACTAAAACTGACGAACGAGTTGCTGTCAAGATCATAGGTAAGAACTGGAATTACTAATGTCAGAAATCTCCCTTATATTTCAGATATCATTATTCCGCACCTGCCTAAAATGTTTTTCTGTGAGGCTAAGAACACCGCAATTTAGCTGGAAAATTCACCAAATTTGCTGCCTTTTAAAGTACTCTCAGGTGTAATTGTTCAACAGCGTAGTATATACCGTTGCCTTTAAGTACTCTCAGGTGTAATTGTTCAACAGCGTAGTATATATACCGTTGCCTTTAAGTACTCTCAGGTGTAATTGTTCAACAGCGTAGTATATACCGTTGCCTTTAAGTACTCTCAGGTGTAATTGTTCAACAGCGTAGTATATACCGTTGCCTTTAAGTACTCTCAGGTGTAATTGTTCAACAGCGTAGTATATACCGTTGCCTTTAAGTACTCTCAGGTGTAATTGTTCAACAGCGTAGTATATACCGTTGCCTTTAAGTACTCTCAGGTGTAATTGTTCAACAGCGTAGTATATACCGTTGCCTTTAAGTACTCTCAGTGCAGGTGTAATTGTTCAACAGCGTAGTATATACCGTTGCCTTTAAGTACTCTCAGGTGTAATTGTTCAACAGCGTAGTATATACCGTTGCCTTTAAGTACTCTCAGGTGTAATTGTTCAACAGCGTAGTATATACCGTTGCCTTTAAGTACTCTCAGGTGTAATTGTTCAACAGCGTAGTATATACCGTTGCCTTTAAGTACTCTCAGGTGTAATTGTTCAACAGCGTAGTATATACCGTTGCCTTTAAGTACTCTCAGGTGTAATTGTTCAACAGCGTAGTATATACCGTTGCCTTTAAGTACTCTCAGGTGTAATTATTCAACAGCGTAGTATATACCGTTGCCTTACCACGATCGTTGTGTTTTGTGGCAATTCAAAATGTATTAACCTAGAATTATCCTCCTAGAAGGTTTTACAATTAGATGGGATGGGGCTAATTGAGTATAATCGAAGTAGAGTATTTAATATTAATTTTATTATATCACAGTGCTGGCAAGCACGACCGGTGCATTTATTGTGGGTATACTATGTACCCCCTTTACTATTATACCCCCTTTAATATTATACCCCCTTTACTATTATACCCCCTTTGGTACACGTTACAAGCCTCTTTCGTGCACGCGAAGCGTGCACTCCGGCCGGAGGCGGCGGCCGAAGGCCGCCGCCTCCGGCAGGAGTTTTTCAGGCATTAAGACTCATCGGAAGTCGTTCAGCAGATTTATTTTTAGTTCAAAACATTCTAATTTGATGTCAAAGATGACAGGAATAAAAAATAGTTATGTTGAGATTTTTAAGAAATTTGCATAAAATACTCGCCAGCACTGTTATACGAAATTCGGTAAAAAACCCAAAATCGCCATATTCAGGTGCCTTAAAAACCATGTTAAAATCGAGTTAGAGATCTGAAATTTTTCAGGGCGTCTAGACGTTGACCAAATCGACTGCAAAAAAAGTTTCAGGTTTCAGGAACATCGGGAAGTGGGTTTTCTAGAACCCCTGTTTTACGACAGATTGTCGGGACATATACATACATACAGATATACATATATATTCAGGGATAGACGCTTTGCCAGTCAATTGTAGCCTGTATTTAATTGTCCGTAGATTCAAAAGTATAAAAGATACAGCCAATTCCGACCACAGGTCTTGAAAATAATTGTTTACACTTTAGTTTACATTGTATAAACAAATTATTTGACGTCATGAACACCCCTTGATGACGTCATCAAGTTAACCGTTTTTAAAACTTGATTTTTGACAAAGTAATAACTTTTAAAAATGATTTTACACCATTAAAAAGTAATTTTATTCAAAATCTGAGGAAATTTTCACCTTAGATAATTGTTCAAGCATTCTGAAAATCTACCGGAAAGTTTTTCTAGCTTGCTCCTTCATAAAGATATTCGTCATTGAAGTTTGTGTTTTTTTGAAGAATTATTTTATAAAAACGTCAATTTTGCGATTTAGTATTCTCTGGTGTTGGGCCATGCCTTGGGTTGCGGAGCTCAGTTCTGCTTCCTATAGATATAAATTGTGCATTAGGCTAGTTTTAAAGTTAAAAATCGAAAAGTTGCACACGTGGGGACACGCCCAAATTGATAAAAAATTGCTAAAATCACTGAAAATTGCTGTTTTCGTCATTTTCTGTCAACTTTAGAGTGCCGTTGTGATAACAGTTCTTCTTGAAATACTTTGAAACTTTGCATGCTTATCAAACTATATATACAACAATTACATGCAAAATTTTACGGTGATTCAATATTGGATGCGCACGCAACGTCCGCTCAAAGTTTGCACGTGCGAAAGGTGAGAATTTTGCTCATTTGTGATTTCCAACAAATTCTGCTTTGCCACGACAGTTTAATGTCATTATAAATGAATTTAATGCCAACTTGAATGAGTATTAAGTGGCATATTCAGTCAGTGATCGACCGCTATGCTTACCTAAACACAAGGAAATGTTTTTAAAGGAAAAATTTCGAAATTGTTGAAACTTCCTCCTTATTAATGAAGATATCAGTTTATATTTCGACTTTATAAAGTACCCTGACATTATAATCAAAAAGAGATGATATTTGACCAAAACCCATAATCATGGGTAGAGTGGACCGCTGCCAGTGTCTCTCTTTCCCAAACAAAAGGAAATGATATTAATTTGATTGACCGTTCTCAAATGCAAAATGATACCGAGAATGAAATCGGTCGCTCGCTTTTCCCATTCATTTACAATTGTAATAGATTAAGAAGAACTACCCAAAGGCAGCTGTACTCAGCAATAAAGATTCAATAAACTTCAGCTAATTCAATATGTAATAACTACCACCCTTACCCCGAAATACTAGGTATCGACCCGAACGCAACCCAAAGAGATTTTTACAGCATCTGATTGATGTACCTAATCAATCGAAACTTATCACAATTCGTAAGCCGTGAATGAATGGGAAAAGCGAGCGACCGATTTCATTCTCGGTATCATTTTGCATTTGAGAACGGTCAATCAAATTAATATCATTTCCTTTTGTTTGGGAAAGAGAGACACTGGCAGCGGTCCACTCTACCCATGATTATGGGTTTTGGTCAAATATATATTATAACTTTGTAACTTTACAACATAAGATTCCAACTCATTGTGTGTATAATCGAATAGCGTGAATAAAATGACTAAATTTCAATCTGTTGAGGGAAAGCGATCCAGCTTGACAAGTAAAAGATTCATCCTCATTCGTTATTTAAAGAGTTCCACCACTTTTCGTCCTGCTGACCAGTGACCATGTGAATGTCGCATACTTTTGGTCATATATTTCAAGGTGAAGAGCAGTATGATCGTCCACTCGACATTAAATTATTTAAATCATGCCGTAACATCGACACTTTCAGATACGACCCGCGACGAATCTGTCCTAGCAAATGTGAAAAAAGAGTGTGCGATTCTACAGATGACAAAAAAGTCGCCTCACGACAACATCATCAAGTTTTTGGCTTACAAGTTGAATGGAGATATTCACTACATTTTCCTGGAGTTAGCTTGCGGAGGGGAGCTCTTCGACAGAATACAACCGGACGAGGGAATGGAACGGATACTGGCCCACAGATATTTTCAACAACTCATAGCTGGTAAGAACTAAGAAAAAGACCAATGAACTCTTATTCTAATAAGCGCCAAATTAATTATCATTTTCTCTCTCTCTCTCTCTCTCCCTCTGAAAAGGATACAAACTGAGACGAGAGGAAAAAATTGAGAGTTGAGACAAAAAAAGCACAAAAGGGACAAAACCTGGCTGAGAACGGGGGAAAAGTCCTCAAATAAATTATTGCGCAAAACAAAGGATGCACCTTAACTGTCAATTAAAATAATAAGCTTTTTATTTGAAGTTTCTGATAATAGGATAGTGCAATGCTTGTAAATTGTTCCGCTATTTACTTTTCGGACAATCGGTGAACAGATTATGAAATCAGGAGTATCTGTAGTGTGAAGACGCCACACCTTCATGATAAGCTTAATAATTGTTTGTACGATTGATAAATACAAATATTAGATGAATGGCATATCATCAAGAGTAAATACAACTATAGGAGATTAGAAAACCTTAACAACGACAACAAACAACTGAAAATAACCCCTCCAACCCACCTCGAAGCGGTAAAATATTTGCCTGAAATTTAAATGGTTGTACATTCTGACAAAACTCTGATAAAATAGTTCACTTTGGTTATATCAACATTTACGGCGAAAAGAAATAAGAATAGATTGAACCTTGAAGTTCAATAAGAGCACGAAGAATTACCGCATAGCGGGTTATAATTGTGATTTCTGAAAGCCTGGCAAATATTAGATTGGATTTGGCGGCTTCAGTGGAATGCACATATATAATGAATGGCATGAAGTTCTCAGTCGTTAGAAGCCAGCACTTTACATGCGAGGCTAAGACTGGAGTAAATTTTGTGGTAGATAATCATATTAAATTTTTATAATACAGTTGGGGGGAGGGGGCAAACCCATTGCCCATTTATTTCTCAACTTTTTGTCAAATGGGTTATGGGTAAGCTGTTTTTAAGGCTTTGTCCATTAGGCAAACGTTAAAAGCAGTTAAAACTTGGGCCGAGTTATGATGAAAATAAACATCACTATTGTGTTCGCCGTCCTCTAATTAGCAAGTACAGCCATATTTCAGCTCAATTAGAGTATGGTGTCAGAGATATTTATTTTTCGATTTTGACCGAAAGTGATGCCCATTTTACCCATTTATTCTTCAACTTTAAGGGGTCGACCCCCACCCCCAACCCCCCCCCCCTTGTTTAGGTTCAATCACCACTCTGAAAGTTCGCATGTCGGCTTGACATATTTTTTTTTATCTCAATTCTTATTTTACTTCGGACATTCCAACAGCCACATTGTTACACAAGTGTGTAACCAGCCAATTACAGGAAGCCGAAGGATTCAATTATACATTAGGCCAGTGACGGTTAAGGTAGTGTGTACCATACTTTCTTCGCCCGAGACTCTGCTGCAATGGGCAGCTCCTCATTTAACCCTCACACCCGATTTCTCGAGTATTTGGCTGAGTGGACCGGGGGGCTGCATAGACCACTCAGGATCCTTAGCTGAGCGTCGACGACGCTCACCCCACGGCTAGTGGCAGAGTCGGGAATCGAACCTGGTACCTCAAGCAATACCATGCCTGGATTAACCAACTGAGCCACTAAGCCGTTAAAATATGATACCAGACATTAGAAAATAACGATTAGAATCGTAAAACAAATCTAAGTCGGAAGTGCAGATAAATATGGTTACTTCTTTTGACGTTACAAATTGATATTAATATCAATTTTAAGTAGTTACTAGCTTTACGCGACTGTTATTCAAGCCGCTATGGGGTTATGAAGTTATGCCTATGAAAATTCAGAGCATCATAGCGGCTCGAGTGTGACCGCTGTCCAATGAGAATCAACCTCTCAAGCTGTATCCATAAACAGGGTTTTAAGGAGTTCAATTCTAAATGATTCTGTCGGCAGAAGCTGTCAAGTGTCAACCTGGGCATTTAAGTCAAGTGGGAGGTTTGCTTCGATTGAATCATTTATAGATATTGGTGACGATTGAGATGGACCATATCCAATCATATCATGGAAGTGGAAAATGAAAATATTTAACCCATAAAGCTTGCACTCAGCCAATAAATATATTTATAAATCTAGCTGGCACTCAGCCAATAAATATATTTATAAATCTAGCTACTGACGGCAAATTGAGCCAGATTAACTGAATTAACGGGGTGTCAAAAAAAAAGGCGATCAAGGACTTCTATTGGTAATTCGCCTCAGCTTTAATATTACCGACTACCGAGGGACTTAAAACTTTGCAAATCATGTGCTTTACTGCTATAATAATGCTCCAGAATTTGTATCGAACATTTCAGGGCAAAAGTTCGTCAGAAACCTGTTCATTTGGCACATACACTGATTATCCCTGTCAGCAGCTAGTTAGCTCGTGGGTATAGCTACAGTCACTGTAAATGCTAAATAACGTTCTCAAAACAGTCTTGAGGTATTGGCATTGATCGCTTGGTCACATTTTTTTGGGACACCCTGTATGTATCATGTATCATGTATCTATTTTCTCTTATGAGATCAGTTTATGTCCTTCTTTCCAACAGTCATGTAAATATTTTAATATCAGGAGTCGACCACCTGCATCTACTTGGTATAACGCATCGTGATATAAAACCAGAGAACTTGCTGCTTGATAGGCACGATAATCTCCAGATAACCGACTTTGGGCTCTCTACTATCTTCAGGCACCAAGGTTAGTTATTTTTTAAAACGTTAATAGCCTTTTTAAAACTTTAATAGCTTTTTGTTAAAGTGTCATGAACTTCATTTATGGAAGCTTTCAATCGACTTAATTATCAGAGGGGTAAACTCATAAAAAAACTCACTATAATATAAAAGTTTAAATTATTATTATTACAAACTGCCGTAAAATTATGTCGGTATGGGTAACTGTTATTTAAGCATTGTGCGAGTAATCGCAAATGCCACAGTATTTGGCGACAAAGATATACATACTATCGGAATCCGGCAAAACGAGTGAAATCTGAAGAATTCCACTCCGGTCTTATAATTAGACCATATCGATAATATAAGATAACACGTACATATCTACCGTTTTCTGAAAAATGTGCTTAAAGACCATTTTTGAAATTCTGAATCACAAATTTTTTTTGGGTCAAGAAATATCTCTGAAAACCATCAAAATCATTAGAACCAATCACTGGCCCTCAGAAACCCGCTTTTGAAACCGCTTGAAATGTCACAAATTGTCATAAATGTGTCAAAAGTGCTTGAAAACCTCGGATTTTTGAGTGGTCTTTATGCACTTTTGTCAGAAAACGGAAGATATTTACTCGATAATTTCCGGTTTGATTATTCGCCAATAATCTGCTGTAACAGTGAACATCCAAGAAAACGTGCAAACAAACTTAGGCTGGGGAGTGGGGACGGCAGAAAAGAATTTGTTGTTAGCAGAGGCTAGCTCCAAAGTCCTGAATACGAAAATGATCACGTTTATTTTCTGCTGGTCATCTTAAATAGGGTCCGAAGTTGGGGCATTAAACGATTGTCGCGATAATACAGCAGCTTGGTTGGAGCAGTTCATCAAGGAAATGTTACTATCGCTAGTGGGATTAATCACAGATTAAGATAGCAATTTAACAAATGAGATAGATATTGCTTCCACATCCGCGTACAGAAAGACTGATATCTCGATTAATCAATGGCTTGTTCAATATCATACGATCCACGTGATGGAAACACACGTGCTAAAAACTCATCAGTGATCAATTTTGACTTTACAGCCACTATTATGAGTATCTATCTACCAGGGAAGACACGTCGGATGGAAAGGAGATGTGGTACGCCGCCGTACGCTGCGCCGGAAGTACTGGCTGGGGCTCCGTATCACGCCCGACCCGCTGATGTGTGGAGCTGTGGTATCGTGCTGGTGACCATGTTAGCTGGTGAACTGCCCTGGGATGAACCTTCTGATCGGTTAGTTTAATGTGTGTAATTGTTAGATATGGCTAGTTAGGATCAGAAGGTATTTTCCTTTAAATTCAGTGAGCTAAATGTCTAAGTTATCAACTATTGGACATTAAAATTTACCCAGAGTGAAAGAGTTTATAGCGTGGAAGAAAAAGAAGCTCATGTATACGCCCTGGACTAAACTTAATGTGGACGAGATACGATTCCTAGAGAAAGTTTTGGCGGTTAACCCCAAAGAAAGACTGACTATCGAGCAGATTTGCGAAGAACAGTGGTTCAAAACAGAAATACCAATGCCCGAGGTTAGTGACGCTTTTAATATATAAAATATATGTCTTGCAAAACGTTACGCACTTGAATATATTCCCTAAAATTAATCCTACTTCAATATGTTCGGCGTATCATGATACCGCAGCAAACTGTGTCGACAAAACTTGATTTGACTAAGAATTCGTATAAATGATCTAATGAGCTTATATCTTGTAAGATCTTGTAAGATATAAAGGCACTCTTAACTTCTAAGAAAAGGTCATGATAGAGTAATGGAGAGTAACGGGGCGCAAGATCATTTAAATCAAATTATCGGTGGCACAAAGAAAATTGTAGCGGAATTAGATCCACGTGATCTGAATTTGAAACCCAGATCGACCAAAATTATCTGTTATATTCCGAGCCAGATATACCTGATTCGCAGTTTCCTGTGTGGACAGGTTTTTTTGGTTGGAACTATTGAAAAGTTAAAAAGTTTGGCATTTCGATTTATTGAAAGTCAATCAGAGAACTGCATTGATATTTCGAGTCATTACTTCGCATGTCGATTCCACAGACTTTTGACAAATTATCTGGCTGACCGACTGATTGTAATGACGACATTATATTCATCTTAAGGTAGTTTTCTAAGTTTAATTTAATGCTTCTCCCTTTTAATCTTAACGTCATCGCTCTGATCTTACATTACTCAAATTAAATATACACCGTATTACAGACTTATAAAATTATTGTTTTCTTCCCAGGTATGCGAGATACAAAAGAAGAAGAAGTTGAAGAGAAGTTTCTCCGATGAAGGCGTGGCCATGTCTCAACCTGATCTACTGACCCGGCACAGTGTTCTGAACGATTCCTTCAACACAACACGGCACATATTTGACACAATCAGTTTCTCACAACCCAACCACCCTGAGTACATGATACTCTCTCAGATTGATCTCACCCAGGTCAGTTGACAGTTTCACATTTTCTCAGTCACCTATTTTAGATATTGATTTAGATATTTTCGAATTTAAGGAAACGTTCGAGAGGTTTTGCTTTGAGTTTTAGTTTAATTTGGTTTAATGAGATAGTTGACACGTTGATTTCAGGGAGCATCTCAAGCAACACAGAGTATACTACAGAGACTGGTTAGGAGGATGACAAGATTCCTCATTAAAAAGTCTCTAGAACAAGCTCAGGAGAAGCTTCAAACTGTTCTTACCGAGCAAAAGCTACAATTCAAACAGGTTAACGTTTCGTATCCAATATTTGCATCATATTTAACATTCCGTGAAAACCTGTACGCACAATTTCGATTTATTAGAAGAATAGCCAAACCCTTTTAGCTTAAGGCCAGAGAGGGGGGGGGGGGGGGTAAATGGCACTTTTCTAGTTTTCACATATTTGATAATAGCTGCTGAAGACGAACAAGAAGAAAAAAACCGGATCAAAATCTGACCTTGCGTTCCTGAGATATCGCGCGCTAAATTTTGAGGTTTACCTGTAATTACATGTTAAACTGGATCTTTAAACGGCTGTAACTTTTTTGACCTTTAAATTCCTTAAACCGGCCACTCCCTGATCTTGAGGGAAACGAGTCAAATAAAAAAAATCGCTGCATCTAATGTCTAGATAGTTGTCCAAGGAACCACTGTACCAAATCTCAATATCAGGGGGTGGTTGGTTTTCTCAGGAACGCAAGGTCAGATTTTGATCCGAGTGCCATTTACCCCCCCCCCCCCTCTGTATAGTCATACAGCGATATAAGGTCCCCAGCCACTAATGTCAGAGCGTTTATTCGTAATTGTCTAATGTCTATAGTCCAGAATGTGATTTTAAACAGTTCGTTATATATATTATTAGGTATGGACTTAAATTATTATTATTTTAAGTGTTAGATCGGTTTAACACATGTAGTTCAGATAACATGGTTCATAATAATTGTATAGATACAGATTAATTTTTGTAAGACTTGATGCATTTACATGTCACTAATTTACTCTTATCATTACTCTTCATCTTCAGGTAACATCGACCCAGTACACCGTCAGTACACGTGATGGGCGAGGTAAGATCCTGTCAGTCAAGATCCAACTCTTGGAAATGTTGGAGGATAACATTCTCTTGGATTTCAGACTGAGCAAAGGTGACGGTATCGAGTTTAAGAAATCGTTCATGAACATCAGGAAGAATTTTGGAGATTGTATCGTGAAGGCTCCTCACTGAATTTATGTATGATTATGGAAGCTAAGGGACCTGGGACATATTGTTTGAACAAACCATATCATTGATATAGACGGTTGTTTAATGAACTTATTTTTATAATTGGAAACGATTAAATATTGGAAATGTTGCTCAATTGAGTTGTAATTATTTGATTTGGTATCTTTTTTTTCTTGCTCTATATTATATGTTTGATATCGTAAGTTAATATCTTTTTCCCTGACTGAGCAAGAATATTTTAAAACTTTAATTATATTTCATCTCTTTTATCTACTATCAAATGACCAATGTAAAACTTGAATTTTTATTATTTGACAATTTCCACAAAAACGTGTCCATCCGTTGGTATCGTTACTATGATCACGCTGAAGTCTATTTCTGCTCCATAACATCGTGGTGGGAGAGGTATGAATGTTGCTATAGAAAAGTTCCCGCGGTAAAGTTAATCTTGGAGAAACCATGTGTTCTAAGTGTACGGACGCCAACTCCAAACGCATCGGGAGTGTTAAAACTGCAATTTTGCGCACGCACCGGCAGATCCGTCGCCGCGCGCTTGAGTACTCTTAGTTTTAAATCCGGAAACGGAACCACTTGGGGCTATCCGCTGGAAAATTGATGGCACAGACAAAGATAGAACGCTTGTTCTGCTGTTGTACGGCCCCACATGACATCGTTCTAAACTACGCAGGGTAGCTGCCAGGAGTAGGGGATCCAACTTCCTCGGATAAAACCGCGTGAATTTGTGTGCTTTCCGATGCTGACATTTTTGGGTTGACATAGCAAAGTTGTGATAGCGTGCGCGCGTGACCAAAATTCCCTTCCAAATCCCATTGTTTCAGCGGGTGTGCTTGGTTTTTCGAATTCAGAGTTGGGACTTACGGAGAAAGTAAGCAATAAGACAACAAATTGACAAAGCATAATTTAATGATGAAATATCATTAGATACATAGTACATTCGTTCTTAATTAGAAAAGCAACTCGTCCTAATGAAACGCTGTTTAGATTGGGTTGGTACTGTGATTGTGTTCTACGACACCTGATCCAGATGTTAGATATCAGAGTAATGGTAAAGTACTTACTTTAAAGTAATGGTGAAGAACTAAAAACTTTTAACAAATTAAACAAAGACGGCACACAAGTTGCAGCTTACCCTATCTGCCTCTGTTGGAAAATAACAATTTTGATTGGTTAAAAAACAATAAAATATTATCAAATATAATTTGTTAAAAGAGTCGAGTGTTCGAAGGATGTTTACTGTTTAGTTGCCGCCAGTTTGTTCTGGTAAACCTCTATGGTGTCATTATCTTCCATCTCTAAATCTTTGGGAGCTTGTTCGTCATTGATTCTTTGTCCTTCGAAGAGGAAACGGACACTGTTGATAGGGATACCCTGGGTAGATATATGGTATCAAAACAATACACAAGATATAGATATGGACATGTTTGAACTAACCATACAGTGCTATAGGAATGGGAAATGTGATCTCATTTATTCTAGAATTACAATGTCCGTTTTTAGATTCTGAAAATTATGTCCCCCAGTACTGCTACATTACAAAACAATCGTATTCACTGTAACTGGCGTTTTCTCCCCAAATAATCATCGGGTCAATGATGATATTTTCCATTTATCGTTTGCTTAAAGCTAGATGGTATGTGATGCGTCAAATAGTCAATTATGTAACACAGTACTTTACAGACGGTACTTTGGGAGTGCGTGATACGGTCCTCACTATATAAACAGTTAGTGAACGAAGTCATCGCTTGTGTTGCTGTTTGATGTATATAATGCCTAATTACACCTCAGCCCTACTGTGGTAAGGATCAAGCTAGGACGATTACCAGAGGTTATCTTCAAGCTCAACAGAAACAGCAACTTCTCGTGTCAATTACAGGTTTCCTATCCTATCAATTACACATTTCCAGCACCAAAATGAAGTTACACAGTACACGCAAGCTATAAAACTAAATTGAGTTAGACAGATATTGAAGATTATTTAAGACAATTTCAGGGTCGTGTACTGTCAGCTCAATTAAGACTGAGTGTACAGACACATAATAGGTACATTCTCATGCAATAGTCTCTACTATTCAGTTTCTACATGATGAGAAGACTTCTTTATGGAACATTGGCTGGTGAACATTTTAAATAAATTAGTTGTACCACACAGAGCGCTCTGCAAGTTATGTATTATAAAGCTAATTTCCGACCCAATGGGTATAACAAGGAAAAATAACAAAATTATGGTCTCATAGCTCTTCTGGCCTTCTGCATGAATTCTAGTTAGCACTGAGCTGAGGTCTAGCGTTGGCTGAAGCACTTCCTATCTATGATTGTTCGAGCGAGTCTTCGTGATTGGCCAGAAACCGGCAGTCAAAAATAATCTGTTGAAACTGACAGATAACATTTTGACATGTCCGTTAATTTCTTTGTTCTTTTTGGACTATATGAGTTAAAAGCACCTGAGCTAATAATATTTTTTAAATGAGCTGTTTTTTAAATTACCTGTCTCTCACAGAAAGCAGCTTTAAGCTTTTTCATCTGGGTGGTCTTCTTGATTCTGAAATGAACTTCGCTGTTGTTCTGTCCGATTACTCTCAAGTTGATGTGATCGTTGTCAGCTCCGGCTGGTTTAGTTTCCTGAAACGAAAACATTGGTGAAGATTAAATAACGTTGGTGAAGATTAAATAACGTTGGTGAAGATTAAATAACGTTGGTGAAGATTAAATAAAGGCCGACGAGATTAAATAATATGCATGCTTGCAAAACTAATCGCGATTTCAACAATTATCGCAACCCAATGTAAAAAAAAAGCTGGGTATTTTATTTTCATTCAAATCATCAAGCTATTGTTTTTGTGGTACTTTAGTGATCTCCTGACGGACACTTAAGAAACGGCCGACGCCCGGCTGACACACATTAGTGCACTGAGCAACTTCTTAACGTGTACCACCCGTGTGTTGACCGTGTGGCAAGTGTTCGTCGACAGATTACCAAGTTTTCATCATTGTTTACCTCCTCTGCGGACATAGTAGAATCGTAGCCTTTCTAACCTATAGGTAAGAGTATTAATAAAGTAAGTACAAACGGAAATATTTTGAATTTTTGTGTCAGAGTATTCAGTTTAAATTTTCGTTATTAAAATAGAATGAAGCATTTCAGATGATTAAGTTGAAACGATGAAATTATCGAATTTAATTTCGAATATAGTAACATAGATTGAACAAAAAATACATGGAGAAAATTATGGTATTTATAACTTAGATTGTATATATTTAATAAAACAAATATTAATAAAACAAATATTTTAATAAAACATCTTCACTCTTGCACGAAACCGGAAACGTAAATAATACATTAGTGTACAGAACACACCAAACGTCAAATGTGTCATCAAATATAACGAAATTTAAAAATCGCTTTGTTAAAGGCGTATAGATATTTAATCAATGTTATAGTTCAACGAGAAAAATGTTCAATAATTTTTCAGTCAGCAGAACCAAATATGCTGTGACAAAAATGTTGAATTTAAAGAATGTATAAACTGGGGAGTGGGGAGTTATCATCTACTGTACTGGGACAAATTGAAAATGAGCACATAAAAAGCAAAGATTGCGATCATTCCGTTCAAAATTGAGACAGCAGCTGGTTTGAATGTTAGAAAATATACAAAAAATTCAGAATAATAGGCTAGCTCTTGATCTCTCACTGATAAAGTAAATTCTTGAAAGTTAAAGTTTCAACCATTCGCAGCTAATCTGAATCGTCTGAATTTTCATCCGAGGACACAATATACTTTGGTTTTCTGGATTTGTTTCTCGAGCTTCTTGATTTGTTGCTGGAGCCAGAGCTGCTTTTTTTGTCCTTTCTTAATGAAAGTTTGGCTCTTGGCTCTTTTTTCTTTTTCTCAAGAAGTTCAGAATCTGAACCTGAAATATCGGAGGTTTTCGGATCAGCCGGTTTCAGTTTCGCATTTTTTGATTGTCTGTTATGTTTCTTGGAGGGTTTTTCCAAATCAAGGGTCTCATTGGATGCTACTGAATCCGAATCTGATGTATTTTTTTCCTTAGCAGAACCTTTTTCTGACACATCAACTGAAGGCACTGACTCTTCATCTGAATCAGCTGTTATTTTGGGCGGTTTAGAATCATCATCTGAATTCTTCAATTTATCGACAGCTTTTGCCAAAGAATCGTCATCTGAATCTTTGACCTTCTTGGGTGATTCTGGAGATGACTCGTATTCTGAATTGGAACCAGACTTCTTTCTTTTCTTAATTGAGTCTTTATCAGAATCACTGACATCAGAAGCAGATTTCTTTCTTTTGTTAACTATTTCTTTGATAACTTTATCATCTTCTTTATCATCTTCTTCATTGGAATCTTCATCTAAATCACTAGACCCTTCTTCAGAGGATTCTTTCTCTTTTTTCTCTTTTTTCTTTCTATTTAGAGTGTCATTGAGATTATTTCTGCGCAATCGCAACCTCTCCTTAATGATCTCTTCTCTATCTGAATCATTTACATCTGCATCGCCGTTAAAAATGGCCGAACATTTCTCCAATAACAGATCAGTGGGGTCGTTGTAGTTTTGATGATCAAGAGCAGCTTTGGTTAATTCTCGTAAGCTCTCAATAGCAGTGGGTTCACATATAAAACATTTCCACTCCTCCACATCCATCAGGGAATCATAATACTCTGGTCCAATGCTTCTACTGATACACTCTTCACAGAAAGGAGTTTTACACTCGTCACAGCAAACCAGGTTCCCGAGTTCACTGCACCACCGACAATAAATTTCATAACCCTCTTCGTCGATGGGAATGATATCAGCATGAGCAAATATTAGGCATTCTCTACAAACACCCACTTGTAGTTGAGGGTGGCACAAAATGTTCCGTTTCCCCTGGACCAAGAGTTGAGGTTGTGCGCACGACGTACAATTGAAAACAAGGGAGGATTCTTTCTCTTTTTTCACTTTTGACTTTCGCTTTGTCGGTGCTTTAGTATTTGTCTTCCTGACCATCTAAGATAAAATAGTGGGTTCCTGATTTAGAAACCAAACTGAAACTTGGATGTTAATTACCATGTTAAGATTATCAAATATGTCATGAATGTTAATTATTTATATTCAACAAGAGGAAGACAAGTTATAATTTTTCTTGTTAATTTCATCAATACACAGTTTTTGTGAAAAATTAGTAAATTATATAACAAGTCATATCATCGTTATCATGCCTAACTTAAATGATAAGAGAAATTGTCTCTTTGCTAACTCTTTTACTCTTGACCCTTCTTTTGTGAGAAAAAGAAGTAGGAGCAGATAGGCAAAACAAATAAAACAAAGCATGATGCTAGAAGAAGGAAATAAAATGTTAAGCTTAGGACGCCAAAACATTCAGCTTGTGTAAAAGGGCTGCTTAAGTAATAAAAGCATATAACATTTATAATTTAAAAATACATATTTTACTACTGTTATTTTGAATAGTACCATCAAGATTCTTGTACAAAACTTTCTGGGATTTATCTGCCAGCTAACCTGGGATTCCTGAGAACTAGAATAACACTATCTCCTCTCAAGAATAATTTTGGGATATATCTGTCTCTGTTGACTGGCTTTGCCTTTTTCTTTCCTTTCCCGGTTTTGGGGGTCTCTGTCCACAATTCTTTTACATTTTCTAGCAGCATATTACAATGCCTGTCGAAGGCTTTGACTCTACAAAGGAGTTTTCTGTTGTTCCTGCAGTTGATAAGAACTTGTGTGTTGTTTTTAACACTTTGGGTAAGAACAGACAAGGGTCCTGTATTGAACTCCTCCTCTTCACGTTTAGCTAACTCTTCTTCAGTCAGCTCCGACTTGGGTTTGTTCATCAATGCAGCCATGACTTGCTGGCTGAGAAGATGTTCAGTTAATGTCGATAGATTAATTTTGTTTGTTGACTGTTCATTAAGCTAAAAAATAGACACAACAAATTTCACAGTATAATACAGGGTGGGCCAAAAGTCAGTGTGCAAACGTTGGCCTTAATAGCTCAGTCACTGAGTGCCCAATTGAAATACTTCCTTCTGGTATGACTTAGTACCACCACTGGTTCGAGGAATTTGTCAACTCGAAAAATATTCGCGTTCATTTTTTTCAAATGGAGGTTCATTTTCACATTTATTTGATAGTTTGGATAGTCGGATCAAGCTAAATGTTATTGAATTGTGTTTGGCCATTCGAATTACGTTTGTCCTGAAAGAATTAGAACTGTAGCTTCTCAGATGACCGAGATATGAAGCATAACGAGTTTATTCATTACGTGTGATCAGGTGATTGGTTTACCTAATCACGTGATAAGGTGACCCCGTTAACTACCCCGTTAAACATTATGGGAATTGTTAAGGGTGCCCAATTAAGGTGTCGTGTCACGGTGTCACATAATCACCCAGTCAATTTTGTTAACGAGATACACAAAATGCTTGATAACTTCGTCATTTCTAATCCGTTTTGCCTCATGTTTTCAGATCATATGCAACATTTGATAATCTACAGTCTCTGAAAAAATTAGGCGTTCAGCATGTTCAGAGAAAACAATATAGGTGTTTTAATATTGAATGGGCGTGGTCTAAAATATTCGAATTTTCAAATTTTGACGACGGAATCCTCGAACCAGTAAGTACAGTATGCCATCTGCAAAGCAACAGCTCTCAAATATAAAACACGGCGGAGGTATAAGACCCAACGTTTGCACACTGATTTTTGGCCCACCCTGTATTTCGCCAGTGCATGTACGAAAGAATTTGCAGGAGAGAAAAAATTTGGTTAATCTAAAGTTCAGCCCAATTAACTGAAAAGCCAAATTTACACAACGTGAAGAAACAAAACTCTGAGAGATCAATAGCAAGTTCAGTATTACAGATTTCAAAAGACTAGTCAAGAAAGACCTAGTTTTCAGTACAACAGGAGTAATAGCACCAGTGAAGACTGAAGGACCTAGCAGAAAAGATCAGCCATTATAGACCATGCATGATTGCAATCAAGGGAAACAAAGGGGAAAAACAAAGGGAATGTTTGTTGAGTAAGCCGCGCCCATAAAGGTCTGAATTGCTTGTTGCAGTGGGCACCTACACTGAATAGTTTCATCGGAAAGGTGTTTGTCAGGATCTTCACTCAACTTTTCCCAACTTTTCCGGCTTTGAGCTATTAATCCAAGTTGGGGCAATCAGCCGACACGCAGCTTTTATGGTTATCTATGATATGTTTAATCTGTAATAAAGATCAAATTCAAACTTGTATTCCTTAAATTAGTGTTCCTTAGATTGCTCAGGCCAACATATCAAATATCTTAACCGACACAGTACAGTAAGGGGCCATCTCCTTAGGACGTCTGGCAAATAGGGAGGTGTGGTTTTGGAATTCCGGACAGATCCGGACAGGGGGAGGGGTGGTTTCTGAAAATTCGGACGTCCGAAAATTTGGCAGAATTAACGAAAAAAGTTCCATTTATTTCAACTCTATGACACTACTTACTCTGTAAGTTTAGATCCCTGTATTTTGAACGAGTACTTAAATGTACTTAAATGTACTTAAATGTAACTATGCTAAACTTGTTCGACACTAAATGTATTATTGTCTATTTTAAGTAACTACACATTTTATTAACTATGAATTTGGGTTGGTTTTATTTTGTACTCTTTAGAGTAGCTCGAAATCGTCCAGGGGAGGGGCCAGGGGTGGTTTTGAAAATTCGGACACACCCGGACAGGGGGAGGGGGTCTGAATATCTGCAATTTTGGCGGACGTCCTAAGTAGATGGCCCCTAAACTCTAGACTAGGTGAAAATTAAGATACCAGAGAGTAATAATGGAGGGCATCATGTAACTTGATAGCACATGATTAGTCAATGAGAAGGATGTAGATAAGGGGGAGGAAGCCACATAGGAGGCGGCAACATTTTCACTGGCCACCATGATTACAGATCCTCCCCCAATAATCCTGGACAATACTTCAAGTTGAATCTGAAGTAAACTACTGTTAAGGTGAATTTTGAGCATGTGCCATGCAGAAACCGATCCGATGAAGAAACAAGTTCAGAGAAAGACTTTCGTCTTTTGGTTGTTCAACTTGACTGCCATGCTCAAACTGCTCCTGACATCTTGCGAGAATAGCCATGTTTGAGAAGAAATGACAGGTTAAACAAAACAAGCAACACATTATCAATTTAACAGATCAGTTCACATATGCATATCCGGGTAGATCAAGCCTGAATTTCCCGCCCAAGGAAATAAAAATAGGATTAAATTTAACGAGAAAAGTTTGCTTTCGGTCGGGGTGTTCTCAGCCATGAAGATTTCTTCTAGTAGATCACCACTATTACTAAGGGACAAATGCAAACTCCAATTAAGTCTGAACTGTAAATGATGCGAGGAGTTGAGAGTAGAATACGTTTTGCAGTGAAAATCCGATAAGAGAGGTCGTTATGTAAATTAGTTACGATAATGCTGTAAACGCCGACTACTATCCATTTGAAAAGAAATCTTGTCATTTCGAGTTGATAAAAAACATTAAATGTTCAATAGAGCGAGAGTAACGACACCAGTCAACCTGACAAAACGGTAATGGAAGTAGTGATAAAAAACAAGAACCAAAACTTCTGTATTTCAAAAAGGTTTTGGTTTTCCTCTCCCGCGCTCGATTTCACGTCAGTACAAATGTAGGAGCTGTGAAGTGCGCGCCACTCATTTTTACTTTCAGGCAAATTACTTCTTTGACTAATCAATTGTATCCTAATTAAGTATTATTAAGCTTATTTTGATATGTTAGGTTTGTGTTGTAAGAATTACGAATAAACAAAGGCATTTCATGTTATTAGATTTTAAAACCCTTTCGTACTCGAATTAATTTTACCACTTTATAACGGTTGGTATGTAACATTTCAAAACGCGCACCGAGTTGGACCAAATATTTTACGAGTATCACCCGTTAATGTTTGATGTAACATTCAATGATTAATGCTTGATTATCAATATCAATAATTATGTAGACCGTTTAACTTTTGACTTCAGCAGCGTCAACAAACGAACTGCTAAATAAACATGCATAATATAATTTATACACAAAGTTACCATTCCCGTTAAGTGATGTTGTAGATTTATAAGCAACAAAGCGTGCACCGAGTTTAACTAGTCAAAGGTCTTGATTTCTTAATATTTAAAGAAAACATCTTTTAATATTCGGAGCAAACATTGAAAATTCTACAAGTATCACCCGTTAAATTAACATGAATTTAAATAATACGCGCGCACTACTACTACATATTAATCGATATATCTGATATCATACATTTTTCTCGGCGTTCAGACTTTGAATCGAGCGCTCACGACAACGAAGTTGAGTCGAGCGCTAATGAAGATTAGACTGTGTGTATATTTTGATCTCGTGTTGACCTGACGCCAAGACCACCGATGACGTCCGGGTAACCTATTTGTAGTTAACTTAGGCACTAAACAATTGCCAGTACGTCGTGAACGTACTTCCAATGTACCTCTGTACTATGAGTTGTGGTTTTATCTCTCACTGAAAGGATCTTAATATAATCTAAACATCGATTCCGCCATTTATTTTCATTACTCCAGACTCTTTCCGTTCTATGTTATTTTCTAAAAATTGGACGCAAGTTATCTAACCATGGTTCTTAGGGTGACATAGAACATTGGAGCAGAGGGGTGATTTGCTTGCGTGCATTTTCAATACCATCACTCTTCACTTCTGCAACATGAAATGCGGTATTCGCCTCAGACCGAGAGGTAACTTACAGAGGACCTGCAAGTTACCTTTTTTGAACATTTTTTTGGTGAGACATTACGTTTATCTAAAAATAGGGTATCAGGTAACTATTATAATAAAGGTTCTGATAATTAATGTTTAGTGTTGTTACTAACCAGGCTTGTTTCACCATTTTATTTCTCTTGTATGGATATTGAATTTCATCGTTTACGTTTTTACACATACCTAATTAGTAGATGGTGTGATAAAATCGAATCAGTTTATTAACGCCCTTCAACCGCTAGATTTCTTTACTTAAAACTCCGATAAAGTTAATTACACATTATTATCATTGATCTGGGTCTCGTACACTTAAATCCAAGGATATCTACAGCTTCTTCTGTATATTATTTGACTCAATATTCTGAAACCTATCAAGTTTACACGTACATCAATTGTTGCACCTCGGTGACATAATTACTGGCACGTAGACAATTTTGCGTAAGTTTTTGGCCTACCCAAGCTTTCAAAAACGACCATCACTTCACTTCTGAGGATCAGTTTCCCATTTAGTCTGGTTCATTCGAAAGGTAGTCCTTTATACTTCAGTTCAGTCTATAAACGAAGTCCGAAAGAAGGTAAATTTCGTCGATAATCGCCGTCAGAATCGTACGTGACGTTGGGTGGGTGGGTCATATTTTCTTCCAAAACGTAGTTAGTACTTTTTTACTAAGTGGTGGGTCTGCTGCTCATTTCTCAGAAAAACACTTACTACATGGTACTAAGGGGCTCATTTTTTGGGTGTCCAACCCCAAAAAAACCCATTTTACCTCTAATTTCAATTTTGGGAATGGGTTTTGAGGTTTTTTCGAGTTTTTTTCTGTAATAAAAAAATTTGTCTTGTAACTTTTTATCTAATTCGACTACATTGAAACCAAAACCCCTACTAAATAGTGGGTATAATTTGCCCATTTCCCAATGTTTAACGAGTTGTTTAGAGCAATTTATGGGTGGGTATCTTACTTTATATACCAAGACGCAGTTAGTACCGTGATTTCTCAACAGTTACTACCCCAAAAGCCGGCAAAAGGGGGTGGGTGTCCTAAATATTATCCGAAAAAGCAGTACTGTGAAGGGGGTG